TTAACAAAATCTAGATTTTTCCATTGTATTTGAAGGTTTATGAATATTCATAAAACAATCTAAAACAGAAAAAAACAGCTGAAAAATCATATTTGATGATTATGACTTCATAACCCATCAAGCCTTTTTGCAATTATACAAACAATGCAATAACAATAAAAAGAATAATTCAATGGACAAATTCACTCAAAGAAATAAAAACATTTGGTGTAAACAAAATCTATGTTTTTCCATTATATTTAAAGTTCTGTGGATATGCATAAAAACGAGTCCTTCGCCGACTGCTGCGGGGTGATGCAACTCAAGGAAGAACATTTATGATCATTATTTTATAATTTCCTTGAAGTAATCATCATATTAATCATTTTGCACTGCAGATACGGTAGTTCTTCTGCCTTAGCGTCTCGGTCTGATTGCTTCTCCATGAAGAAAGTATCCTAAATATTCCTCTATGAGCTGCGTCACCCCGCTGCAGTTAGTGATGGACCTATCCAAGGTCTCTGTACTGTGCTAAAGAAATCTGTCAAAGCTAAAAAGATGTTTGGTGGCTAGTACTATGGCTAGGACCCTATATGTACTGTTGATGAAGTTTGGTGCTGTTCTGAGCATTATTTGTGGCTATAGAGTGGCTTTTTGGTTGAGCGCGTGGCTCCTGAGACCGCTGTGTATTGCTATCGCACAGTCGTTACTAAAGTTGGTATAACTAGAGAAGCAAGCGGTCAGCAACATTCATCTCTGGAGGGGGTGTCTAACTCGGTATTAAGGTGTGTTTGACCCTAAATAAATTTTATGCCGGAATATTCCTTTAAAGAGGAATCAGAGAGGAAGTTAAAGTTTGAAAAAAGGCATAATAACCCATCTTTAAATAAGGCATATTGACACCTTTAAGTTTTAAAAAATAGTTTCCTGCCAAACACCAGGGTGCCCAAACTGGGTAATGGTTTTAGTGCTAGTGTTAGTTTGGTTACCACTGTCAGTGATTTAGTGTTCATTGAAACGTCCTAATAATCTCTCAGCCCTGATTAAAACCATTCTGATTAAACTGCAGCAGAGACTGAAAACAATCTTCAGAACTTTGATTTGTTTCTAACATCCTGCTGGAGCAGCTTTAAATACTGTATGCCATGTTCAGATAATTAAGCAAAGTCATTCAAAGCCTGGAGGCAAAGCAATTGGCCATTTAGACAAGCAGGTCAAACGCATGTTAACTAAAGTCTTACAGAGAACTACTCGGTGCAAAAAGTTGACTCGACTTCATTGATTTAATTAGTTGTTCTCAATGCTATTGACCTGCGCTCTCATGTTAAATAGCTACAGAGCTGCATTAAACAATGTGATAAAAAAAGCGTCGGGTTGAGGAGACACAGCCAGGTCGATGGATTGCAGGGGGCTAAGTGAGTGGGAGTATAATTAGCACTTTGTTGGCAATTTTGCAAGTAGGATAGGCATCAATCTAATTTTTGAAGCTAATTACACTTAAAATTGATGGTCACCTTGCTTCCTTTCAAACATTATCAACATGTGATGCCATCATGATGCAAACAAATGTTTATGGATCAGGTCTGCTGCAGGATGCTGACCTCGAAGGGCGGATATTTGCTAACAGGTGGCAAAACGAGGAGCAATTGTCAGGGAAAATGAAGTCATCCAACGTGAAGTTATCCATGAGTCAGAGCAGCATTCAGATTCTCGGCTCACCCAAGATCCTCTCATTTCTGCATACCCCCAACTCAACTCTATAGCATTTCCATCCACTGCAGTCCATGCATTTAAATAGGATATTTAACTGAACTGCTGCTGCGTTTTGGTATATATGGTGGTCACTTGTACAATTCAGGAAAGTCAACCGCACATTTTCAGCCCCAGGATATCACATTTAAATATATTTATGCCTGCTTCTAAGTGCATATCATGTGTTAGTGAAATACTGTATATATCATACAGGGTAGTAGAAATATGTTAAATCTAAAGTTGCATTCAAAAGGAAAACTGCTGTATGAGCTGTTTCTGATTCATGCATCTCATTGTTTGCAAACAGGGAACGTCCATTCTTTCTCCATGTCGTGTTCAAACTGTCCTTGATTAGGCACTAAGCAACGAAATGAATGCAGAACAAAATACATGGATGTCGTAGGTTCCCAATTACCTCCGATTTGTTGTTGAGTGCTGTAAAACCCCCTCAGGGTTTGGGGTCGTGCTCTTCTGTCATCTGGTGGAAAAAGCTGGGGTGCAGTTTGACAGCTGCAGGGAACAGAGAAATACCTCACAGGCACCATGGAGCCATGAGTGAGCAAAGGAAATTACTTTTTACTAATACCCAGTTTGGACAAAAGCAGACAGAACACGGTCTGATTTGGTTACACATCTGGGATCTGGGTTTTAAAGAGAGGAAACTTCTGACTTTTCCCTCGAGCCTGATGCTTCTTACATCAAATTACTTTTAATGACTTAACTTTTCACATGATGAAATTTCTTCATCCAGACCCCGGCGACATTATTAACTTAATTTGACTCACAAACAAATTGATTCAGAGGGCATGAACTTTTGGACTCACTTTAGCCGGAGGATGGGTCAATTAGAGTTTATTTAGAAACAATGACTATGAATGTGTTTATGGGAATGTAATGATATATCATTAATAATAATAATAATAATAATAATAATAATTCATTTTATTTGTATAGCGCTTTTCATGATTATCAAAGACACTTTACATAAAGTACACAATTTGAATATAGCAATAAAATAAAATAAATAAATATAAATAAGTAAAATAGTCACATGTTAAAAGCAATTTTAAAAAGGTGGGTTTTCAAAAGGGATTTGAAAGAGGGCAAGTCAGTGCAGGATCTGATATGGACGAGGAGAGAGTTCCAAAGGAAGGGTGCGGCAATGGAGAAGGCCCTGTTCCCCCAGGTTGGATGAATGGTTCGGAGGGGTGGGGACAGGAGGTTGGCATCGGAGGAGCGGAGGTTGCGGGGGGGATTGTGGCGATGGAGCAAGGTGCTGATGTAGGAGGGGGCCTGATTGTGAAGAGCTTTATGGGTGAGGAGAAGGATTTTGAAGGTGATACTGTGTTTAACAGGGAGCCAGTGGAGATTTTGGAGGACAGGGGTGAAGTGGTCTCTGGGGCGGGTGTGGGTGAGCAGGAAGGCGGCATAGTTTTGGATGGTCTGGAGTTTTTTGATGAGTTTGGAAGATGAGCCATAAAGGATGCTGTTACAGTAGTCCAGTCTTGAAGTGATAAATGCGTGGATGAGAAAAAAAATATTTTTTTTTACTGCAAATACATGCAAACCTTAAATCGTGCAACCCTCTTTGCCAATCTCTTGAATTTCTGACATTGACATGAAAACCTTGTATGCATTAAACAAATTGATCTTGTAGCATAAGATAAATATTTTAATTTCTTTGTTTTAAATTCACATGGAAACTGTCTTTAATTGACAAACGAAAGCTTTCAGCAGCCTTACCTATAATTTTAATGTTTATCTGAATTACATGGATCTTCAACTCTATACCTTTATTATTATTGCAACAAACTGTTTGTTTTGCTTTGTTAATACCAGCATCCAGGCTGAGTTGTCCTCTTGTCTGGCTTTATTTGGGTCAAGTCTTGTTGATGCCTTCCATTAAAGCCCAAAAATCTTAATTGAGACCCTTGACTGGGAGTAATATTATGACTAAGACATTCTACTAAGAAATCATTCCTATTCTAGCTTTGCCAATCTCTGCCACATACCACCAGTGTCTAAAGCTCCAGCACATGATTGTTGGAAGTTGAAACCTCTGGCTGACATTTCAGAAAAGTTGCAGATCCTGGAAAAAAAGCCAGGCACCACAACCGAGAGCAGAGATCCTGCGTGCTGCCTGAAATGCAATAGCAGAATGGTTGGTTGGTCTGTTTGCCCTCACACTGGCCTGCTTAATGCTTAATCAGCCACCCAGGGTGATAGACTCGGCTGCGACAGACGCTGTCACACTGGGCTGTGGAGAGCTGGCATGACTGTCTCAAGACTCTCGTACGCATTAAGGAGAAAAAAACATGTTCAAGCACCAGCCGGACACAGTGAGTTAGCCCTTACCTCCCTATTTGTGGAAAGGACGATAATGCACATGCAAAAGATGGACTGTGGAAGTGGAGTCTTCAAAGAGTGAAAGGTGAAAGGTGAATTAAATTATAACTCACTAGGAGTATTTGTTTTGTAATAAAGTTAAAAATGCAGCTTTTTCAGCCTGCTGTAAATCATCTGGTCTGACACCTCCCTCGCTCACAGCACTTTAAAACAGCAAAATGTACGATTTTGTCTGATTTTGATGGTCATAAAGAGGTATCAGTATCAGTTTTACCCTGTTTCTAAACCAGTTAAAAACTCCAAACAGCTGCTTTAAAGCTAAAAATGTTTCCAAGTCAGATACAACCAATTTTGTGCTTGCTTAAAGTGGACTTTAAATCACAACAAATGCTCAAACAGTAAAAAATGAGCTTCCTTTACCGGCCAAACATGCTGTGGTCATTAAGACAAATCCAATTCAAATTCAACTTTATTTGTATGGCACTTTTCATACAATGCATAAAATGCAATTCAAAGTGCCTCACAGAGGCTAAAAACAACAATAATGACAATAAAACCCAACCCTCCCATCCACACACACATACCCATGGACCCACACGCACACAAAGGCACACACTCACCCTCATTTACCCACACATACAGACAGACAACCACACACAAGGATCCACAAGGATAGTGGAGCATTTTAGCAGGAACATACTTTACTTTACTACCGGAGTAATAATTGAAAAATCGACTCTCTGATTGGTTAGAGGCAGAAATATCTGAATATCTTAAGGAAACTTCTTTAAAAGGTCAACAAGAGCCACACCACCTCCCCTCAGATATTCCCTGAAGCCTGGATAATAGAGCTGTCTCAGTTTCACCTTAAACTCTACTGCTCCCTTTCCTCCAGCCTCTGCAGGACTTGGCGGCACAGGCCACTGTTGGGATTACTGGGGGGCTGGCACAAACAGGGGAACCAGGGATTAAAGAACACCATCTCAAGGATTTGGACTGGTGTCATCGACCACAGAAGAGTCCGGGGATCATTCGCCACTGCAGCAAGAAAATCCAGGATAAACAGAGCTAGCAGAGCGTTTCGGACGACAGGGTGGATGAAACAGGAAAGTCAAACACAGACAGCAGGATACCACTGCATGGTAGGACCATAAAATATCTTCTGAGAATGTGTTTTTATGATTATGCTGCAGTTAAATCACCCACAGTCCGTGAGAGTCCATAATGAATGGACAGGACCACTTGTTGCCCTGTCTAGATCATTTTAGACAGTGCAAACAGACCCAAACATTTGCATCCTGTGCAGCAGTGCAGTGACATTTGCTCCTGTGCAGAGGAGCTGTCAGCACCTCAACTTTCTGCTGTGAGAGTTTTGCTTTCATGCTGGTGGAGCTGAGCTCACTCCGGATACAGATAATGAGCAGAGAGGGGAGAGGGCAGATCTTTTTTTCTCGTTCTTTGTAAAGTCTGGACTCACATCTGTGACACGTAGTTTTCTTTCTACAAAGAGCAGCTCGTCAGGACAGAATAAAAACTCTCTAACAAAGTTTTCTCTCTGGAGTGAACCACTAAAACAGTTTGTCCAGAAAAAAACATGGCTCTTAACTTTGTTCTACAGCTTCGTCTCCGCACATCGAGAAAATACTATGCCACTTAGTAAGGACTCTGTCTTAATCAGCCCTGAATCCATTTGTATCCTTGTTTTTTTTTTTCTTTTTTTAAAGATTGAAATATTTAGACCATATTATTATTTAAGTGGAAGTGGATTCAGGATCACTAAATTGATCACAGGTTAGACTTTATTGACCCCAAATCTCAGACAAACCTGATCGTCAAATCTTATCTCCGTAATGTGACCATATTGTGATATCTGTCTTGGGCAGCACTGGCCTTTCAATGGACCTTTAGAGGCCAGCTGATTGCAGATTTAGCCTCTGATTGGTTGAAACACCAAAACAAAGATGGCAGCCTTTGTCTAGGATGGTCAGCTAACATCAGAAACAACACTATTTGTGTAAATTAAACACATAAATCATCAAAGGTAAGCAGTATTTTTGAGTTGGGTCTGGTTTGTTTCTGAAAATAGACTGATCTGGTCGCTGGATGTTGCAAAATCAGGAAAGCCGCCGGTCTCACGGTGCAAGTGGATTTGAAAGTGAGTTGCCACCTTTCTACTTTAGAGCTGATATCATAAACATAGTACAAGGTCAAGTCTATAAATAACTGAACCCTGATCATAACGCCATCTCACTTGTTAAGGATGTATTTTGAGGTGAAAAACCCTGTTTTCAATTTGGATCAATAGGATATGTGTCTGTAGAGCCTGAGACTGGAGTTTTAGAGCTGAAGTTCTGGAACTGCATCCTTTGACCCCTATGCTGTTGTGTTCCAATAGATGGTGTCAAATAGCAAGCGTCTCTAAAATTGTGGTCCTGAATCTGCTGCCTGTGGTTCTGCAGACACGTGCCAGTCCTTTTGTGCCACACTGAAAGGATACTAATAAGCGAGCTCTGACTGTGCACAGCTATTAATGCTGGGGTTTGCAAATTGGATGTATTTAAGAATTCAAGCTCATTTGCATCCAGGAACTAATTTTGCCCTAAATGAGTGCAAAGTTATGTATTTCAACATTAGTATTTCAGCACCAAAACAGAGACGCTCTGTTTTCGCCTGCAGTACAATGTTGGGTGCTTTAGCAACCCATGGCATGAATAAAAACAAAATACTTGATCCTTCTCTTACGAGCAGCAAGAAGTTCAGAGGCAAATAAAGCCAAAAAGAAGCCTTAGAGAGACAAATATGAAACAACATTTATTTGTACAATAAACACAAATCATAGACACCTGCTTTAAAGCACATACTAACATAATAAAAGGCATCCAAAGCCCTTTTAAAACACAGTAGATCCCATTTATAGTCCCAAGAAAACTTAGGTGCATTCACATCAATATTGCAACATCTCTACAAACAATAAATCAGCCTAACAGTTTAAAGGTGCAGTGTGTGGTTTTTAGCAGCATTTAGAAGAGCAGACTGGGTGTTGGTTCAAAGAGGACAAAGACTCAGCTTGTTATACAGGAGCTTCTTGTCCTCAAAGGTTGTGCAATTCAAGGCTACTGGACCACATATGCTTTTAAGTTGACAGAAGCTGTAAACTTTCTGCAGGTCTGTAAACACTGTAATTAGTAAGACAGAGACCCAAACCTAACAGCATACCACACCAGTCTGCTATCAATACTTACCAGTGGTGTGTAGCCCTGTTGTGCAGATGCTGTTTGTCTATACTGGCTCTGCAGCACTTGGCTTCTAGAGCGCACTGAACATGAATAATGCATAATAAGTGGTCGGACTCTGGTGGCCACTAACAGGTGCATTTAACTCCTTTTTGTGTTCATTTTTTAACAGATGGTTCCTCTATAAGTGAAGGTTTACTGGTCAAAGTAGCTGCTTGTTTTTTCTCTGAATTCCTCCCTGGGTGTGTTTCCTTGAGTGTGTTTATATAGGTTGAAGAGCTGGCAACAGTGCAAACACGAAACCTGAGTGGCAGACCTCCGAGGACTTCGGTATCTATGAGTTATTCTTAAACAGCTAAAAGCTGTTGGCAGTAAGACAGTCTAAATCAGTTTCAGTATGTGATATATTTAGAGAGTTTTATTTTCGGCTCTACGTGGATGACAAAGGATGTGACAGTTTTCAAGTTTTATATGTGACAGTTAAAAAATGGAGGATGATGCATTTTTGCTTTTTTATATATTCTGTGAAACTACTAGACTCATCTAACCTGATGCACTTACATCTCCTATGATCTGGATTTCTTTGGGGGCCAGTGCAGCCTGATTTAACTCCCCGAGCTCCTGCTAGTTCTGCTTCTGTCACTTGATTTGTTTCCTCCCTCGTGTGAGTGGACATTTTTTGAGCTCTGTGTTGCTGATCTTTTTGTTCGGGCTCCAACATTAGGCTCAGAGGAGTCTGTGCTCTCGCTCATTTAATTATGCCCATGTGATGTACTGGCTGAGAGCTACACCTCGCCTGGCTTCCCTAATCTGATGGCAAATAAGGCTGACATCCATCTCGCCATGTCAGAAAGCGTAATGGCCACACTTTCTCTTCTCTCTTTGGTCTACATTGATGCAGGACAGCCATTCAGCCTCCACTCCCCTCTCATCCCTCCTTTACTCTTCCCATTCATCACAGGAAGTCCCAGCAGATGAGATCGTTTAACAGTGGGCGTGAATGGTGATGTGCACTCTCTCCGTCTGGTAAAGAAGGCCCTCTGCTATTTGGACTTCGTAGCCCAGCTTCAGAGGACTCTGTCATTGGGAGCGACATTTTAATTAGACCATTAACTTCTAGAGAGACTCCGCTAGATATCTTGATGAACAGTTTTCTCCCCCCAATCTAAGACTCAAACTGTGGGCCTCCACACACCTCTGACAACATCTTCATACGCATCATTTCCACCCATCACAGCCTGAGAGTCTTCCTCCCAAATGCACTGCACACTGCCAGTTTCAGCCTTTGTGGCTCAATAAGAGAGATGGGAAAAGATTGCAGAAGATTATATTGGAAGCGGACAATGCTGGGAAACTACACTTCTTACAATTCTTTTCCTGATCCCATTATGTGCTCTCATGCTTTTTTGAAAGTCAGTTTTAAAAACGCATGCTCGGATCTCAGATATGGAGAAAAATACATTTTTGTAATGTGACAGCTATTGTTGAAACCCTATTTTCAGGTCCACAGACATGGAAGCCAGTTTGCACCTTTTAACAACATTCAATGCTGCATACTGAGGTAGAGCTGACTGAGCCTGAAATGACAAATAATGTGTCTTTTGTGTGAAATGAATGAAGGAAACCAAGATATATGTGATCAATGGGTTAAAGAAAAATATATTTATAAAAATATGAAAGCAGGTGTCAAAATAATCTTCAACCAATCCAAAAAGCACAGTCATACAAACAGAAGGGCACATAAAACATGGAAGTAGTCTTACTGTTGTGTTTCTGAAGCCATCGATGGCTAAGCGATTCTGGCTGACTGAACTTTCAGCAAACCATGAAAGAGGCAAAGAGATTTTTTAAAAACCTTTTAAAGGGAAAACAGCTTGAAGAACACAAAGTTGCACACACAGACACTCTGGGAGCCAACATTAAAATAAACAATAAATAAAAAGAAACTATTTCAGAGTCAGAATCAAAAAATCAAATTTGGTTAATTTTAGCTTTAAAAACACGGAATAACATTACCTCTTTGAGTTCAAGTCACTCTGCGATAAATCCCAGTTTTAGGGGGCAGAACACTCAAAAGCTCTTCTTCTACCAATTTCTGTAGAAGAGCTTGATTCCTAACTTCAGAATCTTCAAAATGAATGAGTAACAAAGAAAATCCACTCGTACAATTATAAAACTTGGCTTTTCAGAATAAAACTGATGTGTTTTGGTCTTTGTATCAGGCTGTAAACATGTTCTTTCGTGCTTTTTAGGGTGTCAATAGGACTCTCTAAGCTAACGTGTGTGGTTTTTAGTCTTTTGATCATAGAATTTGAGTTAGATTGTGTAGTTTCATTACATAATTTAACCTCAGAGGTCATTGGTTGATACCAGCATACAGAATTACCAATAATAGTTGAAACCAAGTGGTCAATTGCATCAAATAAACATGCAGGATGAGGTTTGAAAATTCTTTATTTTTACTTTCTAAATTCTACAATAAAAATATTGAAAGCACAATCATATCAGACGCACCAGTTTCTATTATGGCTATTAAAATGCTGATGTTGATTATAGAACAGCTTGACTGTAACTGCTTCAGTTGATATTATTATCCCTACCTCTATTATCATTGTCATTATTACAAATGCAGCTATTAGATCTGGTGACTCTAACTGCCATAAACATTAAGATTGGTCTATTATCATTGATTTGCTTCCTGTAAATAGTTCACATACCTTTATGATTATAATAGGGACTGTAACTTAAACTCTGTGTGAGCTGCAGTTGTTGTTTTTGTTGTTGCCTGTCTCTATCCCTCCCTTCTAATTCCAACAACTGTGAGTGTCCCAAGTTTTGGCACATCATTTTGCAGTCCAGTCTGGTTGTTTCAGTAGACTGAAAACTTTTTTTTTGACTGCAGGGCCTTTACTTGGTAGAGACACCTACCTTACCCTGTTTGTACTACACTATCAGATTCCTCCTTTGCTGTACTTTTTTGACAGTGTGCAACATAAAGCCAAAATAACCCCCAACAAAGAGAGAAATTGACAGTGAAACATGCACTATCTAAATTTGTGACTCAGAGTTGATGGAGGTAAAGCTGGGTAAACAAACATGACCTTTTATGTTACTGTCTATAAATAATGGAGATGTTGTGAACCTGAAGACCCTTCACAAAGTTGATTTTCTTGTGAGGATGGTGCATTCTAAGAAGTGGAAAAAAGAATACTGTTCTTTTTTTCTTTTTTCTTTAATTGACCAAGAATGTCAAGAAGAAATTTTCATTTTGGAGCGGTGAACATTGACCATGACATGGTTAAGAGGCAAAAGGCAGTCACCTGGACCACCTCATATGTAGACCACCTATTGAACCATACAGTCAGAAAGACACCCAACCACGACCAGGAAGTGTGAAATGTACAGAAGGACAGGACCTTACTTTCTGTATTGATTTCTGTGCAGTTGCTGACTGTGTGAAATCACAACAAAGACAACAACAACAATCAGATAAATATGTATGTATTACCTCAGGAGCATGTCAGACAAATAGTGCGTTACTTCAATGGGACACCTGTATCATAGACAGTGTAGAGACAGGGTTATTGTTGTGCATGTTCAAGGATGAGACCAGCATTATGAACTATTCCTCGTCTTCTGATATCAACAGCTAATATGCCAAATTTGAATTAGGCATTACGCTTATTTCTTGATCATTATCACATCCTCCAGTATAACCTGTTTTCAGGCTGGTTGGGAGGAATGATTGGAAAGTGGAAAACTCTGTTTTTTTCAAATTTTTCCTCATTGTGTGTCGCTGTGGTCACTATAATGACTGTCACTTTAATAGCATGTGGCTATTGCATGATACCCTGTGTTAGATCCTCAGTGGTCTGACTCATAGAGATGATTGGTCCATACTCTGGACTAGCACAGACCAAGCTTATGTTCAGCTGACTCAAACTCTTAAGTTATGTTACACTTAGGATTCAGGAGGGAAATATTAGAAAACTGCTATCCAAGATGTGCATGAAGGTTACATAATAAAGATAGTGTGAAGGATAAGGTCACTGTGATGTTTGAACTATGCAAGGACAGCAGACACTTAATGATTAGAAAGAAACCAAGGGTAAGAGTTACTTGTTTAGGGTTGACCGTTGACCATATTTGGAGATGATGATGAAGATGGAGGACTGAGGAAGCGAGGAAAGAAGACTCTAAAAACCTCTCAATCAGGGACCACTTATATGTATCTACTTAATGCTTCATTCTTGTAAGAACCATACTTTCATTACATATCCTGAACTATGGAGTCCACTTTTTGTCATTTAAGAAAGATTTTTCAAACTGTTTTTCATCCAAACCTCTGAGAAGGGGCCTGTCTGTATAAGTCCACTCGTGTAAAGATTGTATGTATTGTTCAGGTTACGATGAGAGCACCCTCTGCTGGATCGCGTAGAAAGCCACTTTAGCAGCCTAACACTGGTATACTGTATTATTATGAGTTTAAATGCCTCATTACAGTTTGAATGTAAGCTTTTCTCCCAGAGTTCAAATGAAGGTTTAAATTTTGAATAAAAAGTGACAGCTTTTTGTATTATGAGTGGTGTAACATTACAGGTTAACTCTTGTAACTCGTGTGTCCTTTTTTTATTTTGCAAAAAAGTGCTGCCTTGACTTGTCTGCACCGCTTTCATTATATTATGACTGCAGGTTTACCGAGGTCCCTCACCCTTTTAATGCTCGTTCTTAAACTGATTGCTTGAGCTTTGGTTTAATGTTGTGTAAAGCATTTTATATTTGTTTTATTGCCTTCTTATATTAAAAAATGCATTCATATATATTTTATGGCAGTGGTAGACCTGTCTTATGAGGTGTTAATTTTTCAGACAGTCACAACAGGTAAATTCTGTGGCCGCTCAATATCTCTGAGAAAAGAGTCAATTGCGAATCAGTCTCAGCAAACGCAAAGAACGAAACTTATCTTCCCCGACTTTAAAACACTGCCACACAGCAAGCAATGAAAATAAGGAGGGGAGTAGCAAAGAAAGTACCAATTCTCCAAACCTATTGAAAATAACTCTCGCCAGACGGATGAGGTGAGAATGAAAATAGAAGCATACAATAGAGGAAAGACTTTGGCTTTTTTCTCTTGCCTGTGATCAGTAATCACTGAGGCAGACAGAAGAGAGTAATCTCAGAGAGGGTTCAACAATTCTGCCCATCCTGAGATTACATTATTTTCCCAAATTGCAAGTGAAGCCTCTCAATCCACCAGCCAATGAATCAACAGTGTAGGGAGGAGAGAGCGCAGCGGGCAGTGCTGCTAAGACAAGGCGTGTGCGAGGCATCCTATTAAGGGGAGAAAACAACTGGGAATAGCAAAGCAGTGCAACGGCTGTGGCAAATAATTTCACAAAACCCGATTGGAGAGCTGCTTTGGAGAAACCGTGATCTGTTGGAAATGAGTATGTGATGTGAAGGTGGGAAAACTTACAGCCAATAAAAAAAGACATTTATTTTCACTGCTGGGAATGATGATTGACAGGGCTGACTGTGTTTACAGGTGTAGGTGTTTTGATATCTGAATAAAAACAATTAACGTCTGATGGGTCAGAGCATAAAAAAAATTAAATATAAAAAAGTTGTCAGTCTTGTCGTGTTTTTTTTTTTTCTATACAATAACAATGATGCATCACAATAAATTTTAATTTATTTAAAAAATGTTTAAAAAATCTCCTTACAGGAGCTTTAATGTTAATGGTAAACCTGCAGAAAACCTGTCTTTTGCTGTGACTTTTCTTTTTTCACATTCAAAGTGTCTTTTTGTACTCAATTGTCTGCTGCAAGGATTATTATTTTATTTTATTTTTTATTTTTGGAGGAATTAATCTCTATTTTTCTTTTCTCTATCTTTCTTTTTGTAGTCAGTTGTCTGCTACGATGATTACTAGGGCTACATTAAGAAAAAAATAGTTGTTGATTGTGTCAAAAATAAGCCATGTACTTCCGTTTTAAGGGGAAAAGACACAAGTCTCAGCTTTTTTGGGTCACAATACTCATAGTATTGATGTGCCAAAGTGGTGTGAAATTTAACAAGACGCTCTACGAGGCTGCTGGCTGCTTACTGTAAACCCAAAATAAGACTTTATTCTCATATCATCACAATTCAAGTCCTGTAACCTAATGACTTTAATTTTGTATCATTATGGTCTCTATTTTTGTGCCTCACCGGAGTGGCGTAGGTGCGGCTAAAGTCAGGTCCGCCACGCCGATGAGGTGTGCCCAAGCACACTTTGGTATCTTGGTGAGCGACGAAGCCCGGCGTAAGTATCCCCCCTCCCTAACTCAGCTCCTCCCAGCGGCGCAAGTAGCAAGAGGGAAGGGAGAAGGCGTGGAGTGGATTTAACACAGCCGAGTCTTGTTTTCACCATCACATCAGCTCCTCCTCCTCCTCGCCTTTAAATCCGCCACCGGTGAGGTGTATTGCAATTTTCAGGAAGTAGTCGAAGAGATCAAGAGATGGCTGAAGACAGCAATGCCACATGATGGCGACAGGAGGCAGCTCCTCAACAAGTGTCGCAGTAAGGGCGTCTTTCACACTCTATCAAATAAGCACAGAGGGATTTGGTGTGTGTAAGGTTGTACCCACTAGTAAGACAAACACCCTTTTTCCACAAATATAGATAATCACATCAAGTTGCATATATTTAAACCCCACATGACAGAGGTGGGTTTGTGCGCAAAGATCGCAACACAAACAAATTACAATAATGGCATTAAAATCGGAACCACCTGTGCATAAATGACGCATCTGTGGCCTGTCTCTTTCTTTCATTGATGTTGGCATATAAAATTAACTTGGCTCACGCAACTGAATATTATTATATTTGTATGTAGGCCTGACCCCGGATTGAATATTCACAGAATTTTAAGGATGTAAAAACATTAGATAAATGTGTCATTTTGAATGAAAGTTTCTTTTATTTATTTTTTTGTGCTCATCAGAAAAGATATAGATCAGAATATATTGATATAGATCTAAATGTTTGTGCTGACTCAGATAGTAGCACTGATTATTGGTTGTTGTTGTTGATTATTTACTGCACTGAAATGTGCCTGACACTGTGGAAACCTGCCAGTGAGGCATTGGTGATGTTTGGGTACTGCTCCACTGGTTTACCAAAATACTACAAGACCAGCTGCGCTCCACGTGTGCTGACAGTTGACCTGTGTTGTGTCATAGAACATAAAAATAGAGCCCTGTGACATTGCTAGGACCTCATTCTTAAGATGATGACTTTCACATGACTCCTGATAACAATATGACTTAATCTTGAAATTTTATGTCTCTCCTATAATTTTACCTCTGTAATATTTAGCCTTCATGCGACTTTATTCTTATTAGGTTGATCATGACTTTATTTACATAACATTATGACTTGATTCTCCTACAACTTTGTTGTCATAACATGATTTTTTTGTATTTAATGTTGCTGTAATACTCTTTTATGCAGCTCATACATTAGAGGGTAGAATAATGCGCTCTGAGTCACCCTGGGTTTGGTTAGTTGATGCGTGGGTCTGTCCATGGTGCTGAAATGGCTCTCATGACTTACTACAGTTTCTAATTGGTGATTACTATTTAATCCACATTTACATCTTGGCGTAATTCATGTTCATAGCAATAGTTATGCCCAAGTTGAGGTGATGATGTGTTTTACAAAACTTATTTGTTCACAGGCAAAACTGAGCATCCGTAGGGTAACTGGAAGGTCAATCAGAGGGCACTTTTTAAATTTATATCCTAAGAGAGAAATGAGAGAGCACTTTGTCTGGTAATTCTGGAGCAGGATGATTACCAGAACTGATTTTAACATGTTTTCAAAGAAATGCCATCAGAGAGGGAATTCAGGTATTTTTATTTCACGGAAGGAGCATCCATGAGGGCACTGGGGGGTGACCCTCCCACCTCCTCCTGAGTGCACCACTGAAATTAACCAACTAAAGCACCAAAATCAGCAGCCAAAACAGACTTTGAAAGGCAGTTTTTTTGTCTTTCTGAGAAATGTTTGCTGGAATCTTCAGTGCCAAGCTGTTTTGGGAAATCACTTAGCCTGAATGAGAACAGGGAAATATCTGCCTCACTTACATCTTCAGTGGAAACAAATTAGCTTTGGGCTGAGTGCAGCAGGCTGAGAGCTGGACAAAGGCAAATATGTTGGTGTTTATGGGATTTATTGACAATAACAGAGATAGAAAATATCATCAGCCTGAGTCTTTTTGCCAGAGCTGGATGTCTCTGTCAGTAGTTTCATGGGAGATGTTTCTTAGCCATTCAGATATCCCACAGAAATAAGGCAAAAAGAATAAATAACCACCAAATCCAGTGATACAAGCCCCCTATCTGCTGACATGACAGTCTTTGTCTAATAAATAAAGAAATAACTCCTATTTCAAAGAATCAATTTCAGCTCAGATCCTCAGGGGTTGACAGACTTAAACCAGCATGTTTGCTCAGCCAATCAATGAGTCTGAACCACCAAAGGAAAAGAAGCCACGGTGCTATTGATTCTGGAAACCTGTGACACCTTCCACTATCTGTGGAGACCCTTAAGCACATCTTGCTGTGAGTCCTGTTCAAAAGATCCAAAGGCGTATTCAGCAGAAGCTCATATCCTGTCTGTGATGATCAAAAGTCAGGTTTCATGACAATAAAGCAGCACGAGCACTTCATAATCAAAGAGACCTGACGATAATGAACCACGCTGCAGCCTTAGTGGGAAAATATGCATTTTCATAATTAAATGTTTCTATTCCAGCATCGTCATATCTTATCTGTGGTTTGACTCATTCATTACACACTGTAGTAATGGACTCTATGTTCAGGGGTGCAGTGTAATTCCTCATACAACCCACAGACAAAAAAAACACACACTTAGGCTTAAAACCTTAGGCTATTTTTACAAATATGCTCAATTTTATATGGACACCATTCTCTGTGTACATAATTTGAGTTTCTGAGTATTGAAAACGACTACCCTAACTCAGAAAAATATAACCCGAGGCATAATTGGATGAGAGCAAACATATTACTAAGACTTGATAGTGCCAATTAACATTTTGCAAAGACAGTAGTCTCTGGGTGAAGGCGCATCTGAGTGAAAGAATCATTTTCAACATTCAAACTGATTTAACTACACAGAAAATCTACAGCTCCTATTCTGGATTTAAAAAAAAGGACTATGTCTGACCTTAACAACTAAAAATTACATTAAAGTTTAACACTGTGGGATATCAATGATTCTGTATTAGGCTTGAATAGATAAAGATTTGTAGATATATGGCCTTTTATTCTCTATATGTGTGTATGAAGTCAAAACCAAGCAAGATGAAGCTGAATATGATCTGAAATACTATCATAAGACCATTTAATTCTCACTTATGGATTTTTATTGAAGTTTACATTGCTTTCAACCTTTGCTTTCCAGAGGCGAGAGACAGTAGTGAGATGTGCAGGATCTTTGCTGTGGTGTTTTGAGTGATTAAATCAGTTTTTTTAAGATATGCTTATTTTGTATTTCAAAAGCTAAAAGTTCAAAATGTTAAAATTCAGATTTAGTTTAGTTTTGTGCACTTTTTTATCTTCTGCAACACGATTAAACTGTTTGAAAATAAAGTGTGATATAAATAAAATCTGATGGAGTGTCTTCACTAATTATATCAACTAAAACAGTTCTGTAGCTTTACACTGATAACTTTTTACCCAGCTTTCTTACTTATTACTCAGCTGTGCAAACGGCTTGTTTCTGTTCGGTTAATGCCATCGAATTAACCAATCATAGACTTTTCTCCACTGCCTGTTCAGACTGTGGCAAAGATCTAGAAAAGTCAAACAACATCATATCCTGCAATCCAGGCAACAACAGCACAGCTAGTGAGGGCATCCCTGACAAAACAGGGCAGAGATAATGGCTACAATGTTTTTTTTCTTTTGTTTTTATTTTAATTCAAGTTGTGGTTTTTGCCTCATCTATGTAAAGGTGTGTCAATGATGAGATAGAGGCTAAAACAACATTTAAAGCCTTGTAGAAAACCCATTCATGTTTTACAATTTCGTTTTCAAGTTTAACTGAATAACAAGAAATAATCAACCTACAAATGTTCCTACAGATATCTTAAGTTCAGTTTAAAGGTTATTGTTTTAGCAGGTTAATGTTTTAACCTGATTGTTACCTAAAATTTTGTTTACTTTTATACTTGTTTGTACTTCAAAGTCCATTAGGAGGACGTGGTAAAGACTATTTACCATGGACAGACTATTTTTTGTTGTACATTTATCATTTTTAATCAAACAAACCATTTTTAACTGAAGAGTCAGTGTCAATATATTCATGACCTTAGTCAGCATAATTAGCCGTAGAAAACCTAGTCATATCTGCGTCTACACCTCACTATTATTGTAATTTCTCTAACTCCTCATGTCCCCTGTATTAACGCTCTGTGGGGGATTCATTTATCCAGAGCATCCTGCTTAAAAATATGTACAAGATTAGGTTTTGGTATTTACAAGAATGATAAATTAGTTTTTATCAAATAGTTTTGTCTTCAACAAATTTTACCATCTAAAAGCTCAAATAAGTGCATTACTGCAAACAATCTTTTTGAGCATACTGATATTCGTTTTTTAGAGTTTTTAGATGTTAATGACACTGGTTGAAATTTAAATTGAAGCCTGTTTATGATAAACAAAAGATCATCAGTGTCAAGATCAACTAATTTTATTTAATAATTTTTCATACCTGACACTTGTGCAGGTGGAACAGCTTTGTTTTTACAGTTTCCTCTTGACATATTTACAACAAATAGTAAAATTGAATGTAAGAAATTCAAGGTGATGAAATTTTATGTCAGAAAAAAAAACAATTTAGGTATATAAAGAAAAACAAACCAAAAATTCCTCACAGGAGCTTAAAATGAGCCATGAGTACTGTCAAATGGTTTTATTCCTTGTGTTCCAGCATTATTCATATCATCCTGGTTTATATTAATGCAGAGGATTAAAGCGTTCACTCAAAGCATGATAGAAATGAAAGAAACAAAGATCAAATTGTCATTATGTGGACTTGAAGGACCATTCGTTTGACCTTTCTTGAACTCTTCTGCCCGGCCGTGTGTGCAACACATATAGGCATCTCAATAGATGAGTATCCTTTCGACCTTCATCGTAATTGGAGTTCAGCATCAAGTAAATGGTGTGAAAAGTTGGTTGTGATCCTGTCTTAATGCACAACTGACCACGATAAGTCACACTGATTGCATTTTAATGCTGTGAGGAAAGAACAACAACCTTAATGGTCCTGTGTTGGCACATGGCACTGGACGTTGACAGAGACGGATATCACCCGCTGAGGAGACGAGTCAATCAGAGACACGGCCGCTGCCAAGTACTTGTTGTCGCATTTTTTGTCTCCGCTGGAAGGGTCAGAGTCATCGTGCTCTCCACTAATACATCCCGTCCCTCACGTCCCCTAATAGCTCGCACCTTGACCGTGTCGGCTGATCAGCACCTGTGACTCATCTACTGCATATGCTGCACAAACAGCAGCTGCCTCATAACAACATAATTGCTGCCCTGGACTTTGTATTTAAAGTGTAAACTAGAACAATGAGTATAATCTCTGCAGTCTCATCTCACAAAGTGACCTTAATAGATCCACCGGGGATAGGTATGGCTGTTGATTGATACCAATGAGTCACTGATTACATTGACACGTTGTCATACTGCTGATTCTCCAACAAAATTTCAAGACACTGAGACTGAGCATCTACAAGCTTCAGGAAAAAGTGTTATTTATGTTGTAATTGTCTCTGCAAATTTGGACTGGGATTTAGGTTTGAGTTGGACACATTAAGGGCCTGATCTACTAAGATCCCAAATAGGGAATGCTAAATTACGTGTGCAAATTAAAAATTGCACATATCATTTTGGGGAACTGCATAAAAGACAAGCAAGGCAAGTTCATCTGTATAGCACCCTTAATACACAAGGCAACTCAAAGTGCTTTTCAGATGCAAGATATACTAGAAATTTAAAAAAAAAAGTAGAATAGAATAGAATAGAATATTCCTTTATTGATCCCCCATGGGGGAAGTTTTTTGGCACAGCAGCATCACAGACAAAGAGTGAAAAAATGCAGTTATAAAAATAAAGATCCTAAGAACTTAAATAAATGTAATAATTAAGAAAAAAATTTAGAAAAAGGAAAAAGGGAGAAAAAAAATAAAACTATCTACAATATACACAATTTAAATGCCAGAAAAAAAGTGGTGGTGTGAGTTCAGTTATTATTACAGTTTGTTGTAAAGTCTTATTGCAGAAGGGAAGAATGACCTGTGGTAGCGCTCTGTCTTGCAGGGTGAGAGTCTAAGTCTGCTGCTGAAGGAGCTGCTTAAAGCCCGCACAGTCTGGTGCAGTGGGTAAGAGGAATTAAAAAAAATTATAAATCAATAAGACATATAAATGTTTTTTGTCTGTTCCATGTTTTACCTTATTATTTATGAAAATCGTCATTTACCATAAAAACGAAATACATCACAAGCTTTTGGACAAGGATCATGGCGTCTATCATGGCACTTCGTAATGCTGTGCCAGTTTGCTCGTGCCTTTCAAACGTGCGAAATATAGACGCAAAACTGCAATTAGTTTCCAGTTTTGACAAATCACATTGTAGGTGCTAAATGGTTCTATTTGCATCTGCTCCTCACCGTATTTTGCGTGTTCTGATGATCTACATACATTCTGCATATTCATGAAGGCAAACATGCTAAATCAATTCTGTGTGCTGTTTTTTCTCATTTGACAGACGCAATCCTCGTTGCACCTGGCCAGTAGATCAGGTTTGTGTGCGCTATCAAGTTTGCATGTGTTTTTGCACATGCAGAACTTTAGTAGAAGTTAAATCCAACAAAACTTTTGAAACCACTTTTTTTTTTTAATATATCAGTGTTCATTTTTCCATTTTCAGTTAAAGGTCTGTATGTTTTTCTACCGAGTGTGATGCTCGTGCAGCATACACAGGATTTTACTGTTTGTTCTTGCCCTGAAGTTTGGTCCAGTTAGTTTTGAATTTCTTCACTTCTCTACAACTTTTCCAATCCCTGAGGCCAAAGTCCAGCTCCTGCTTCTCAGCTTGCACAGGTGAAAATTTTCAGAGGTGACAAAAGGTCACTGTAAACCCGGGGTTCTGACAGTGGTTAGCAGTCAGCTTTCACTCCTGAGCAGAAAAGGACAAAGTTTTGTTCTGTACTGCAGCTCTGCATGGGCCCTACTGCACAAGTCATCAGTCACACAGGTGTAGAGCGGAGAGGGTGGGCACAATCCAGAGCAGGATTGAGCTGACTGATGGGTAACTGCAGTAAAGCTGTGCCACTGAGGCGAGCCATCTATTAACGTCAGCCCTGCCGATTGAGCACTGAGTCTGGGTCTGCACGCTGCTGGTTTGGAGCATTTGATTTTAAAGCACAGGTGAAGGTTGGACTGAGGACATGACCCACATTGCAGCTTGTGTTAAATGTGCAGAATTACACCAACAATATCATGATCACAGCAAGAAGAAACAGAGTGACAGAGATGCAGACCCAACGTTGTAACGTTCCCAGTCATTTTTAAAAGTCAAAAACTGTTCGTCCAGGTTTGTGCATGACTCAGGTGGACTGCAACAGACATGCATTATGGCAGCATGAGCTGACAAGTCAATGTGAAGTTACACCATTCCTTACGTCGCCTGGCATGTTTTTATCCTGTTACCTGTAGCCTGCCTGCATGATGGATAATTACAACTCTTTAAGAAGAAGGCTTAAATCAACGTAAAGTAACAGATGGATTTGGTGTGTGTAAGGTTGGACCCACTAGTAAGACAAACACCCTTTCCACAAATAAAGACACTCACATAAAGTTGCACATAGTCAAACCTCACATGACAAAGGTGGGTTGTGCCCACAGATCACAACATAAATTCCAAAAATGGCATTAAAATCGGAACCATCTGTGCGTAAATGACGCATTGCGAAAGTGGCCTGGCTCTTTCTTTCATACATGTTGGCATGTAAAATAAATTTGGCTCACAAAACTAATATTATAATATTCATATGTAGGCTTAAAGTAAATAACTCATCTGATCACTGAAAAAAATCATCGGTTCAGCCGCCGCGGCAGCAGCTGCAGCAGGACGGGGAGAGGACACATGTCTAGGATAATTACAACTCTTTTAGGAGAAATATAGTCTCTGCTCATCCATATACATATATAGACTCTACTTAAGCTATCTGCCATCGTGAAGGCATTGAAGCCTCTGCATTTTTGCTATAGTTTGCCAGCTGGGAAAGAAAAAACAAAACCTTTACAAGGTGGTTTGAATTGGCTCCTGAGTTGATGGGACAACAGGAGTAATTTGTATAGGCATATATGCAAAACCGCCCCCACTCAAGCTTTCAGCTCCCCCAGATGCTAATGTGGGTTTGCATCAGAGTTGCAGAGTCAAGATTTCGAAGGTTAGAGTTAGGATGCCGCCTGCTCTGTTAACTGTTGCAAAAAAAGACACAGATGTCTGTATTTCTGTCACAGCTCTGGAGAACTGCGGAAAACTGTTGTTGCTTTTTACTTTTCTCCAAAATTAGTACGTTTACATGTTTGAAAAGTCAGTTTGTTGCATAAGTCCAGCTGAAACTGGTCCAATCAAGACACATGTAAACACATTAGTCAGATTAAAAGCATAATTGGACTTTTGCATCTAATTAGCATGATTGGGGATCACTGTGGAAACCTACCGGTGAGGCATCGTGATGTATGCCGATATGCCGCAGGTCTACCATAATACCACTAGAACAGCTGCACTCTGCCTGCACTGAAAGCTGACCAGGTTTGAATCGGCGAGGTTTCAGCGCACTTTATACACCACCGGCGAGCACGAAAATGTCACTGTGGCAGCTGATTCTGTCGACACCTCCCTCTGCCATGCCCCCAGCTTGGCAGACCTCGGTGTGCCTCAGTTCACAAAAATACCAAACTGGCTGTGCGCCAGGCTCCGCCAGACGAACTGCATCTGCGTGGGGTCCGCCACCCTCCGCCGCCTCACTGGTGGACACGAAAATAGAGCCCTATGTTTCAGCAGCCAATCAGTGCAGAGTCTCATTTTCACAGCATCCCTGCCCACTTAGATTACTGCAGGAATAATAGGGTTAGAAACTGAGGGGCTGCACACCCTCCACAGAGGACAAATGTGTAATGTTTTAATGACAGAACTCAAAATCTTAATAAAAAAGACAATTAATGAACAGGTACCTTAATGTAAAAGGGGTTCATTTAATCCCACTTTAATCAACACAGCTATGCAAATGTAGTCCTATCCCAGGTGTATCAGTAAACTTAAGGCTCAAAATAATGCTTTAATATACAGACTAGCCAAAGCTATTTAAAAAAGCTGAGATCTTTGGATAAGCAGTGAAAACTTACTCCACAGCCAAACTAATAATCAACATTGAAGCTTTGTTGAATATGCTCTGTGATGTCTTCATGGTCAGAAATAATGGCGTGCATGAATATTGGTTAAAAAAAAACATTGAACCGCTCTCTTTGTCCATAATGATCTGTTGCTCTTTTGTATGTTTCTTTTAAGGCACCATGTTTTTCAGCATTGACTGCAACATTTTCCCAATAAGGATGAGCAGTACTTAACTCACACAAAACAATCAGAGGCCATTCAAGGCCAGGATTCATGCTTGTCTTATAGTAAATCCATAGTAACCTCAGACAAAGCTGGAGTTTCTGCAAGACGCTCTTCCAGACACAGTTTTACTCTCTGGATACAGACATGCATTATTGTCTTCTCCATAAATAGATGATTACAAACTCACTCACACTCGGCTCTACTATCTGTGAAGCACTCTCAGTGTTGTTGTCATACTATCACACATACACCCAAATGCCAGATGAAATATTGACCCATATGAGAAAGACTGAACCTGCTTACCTGATTAAAATCATTAAAAATCTCTGAGATTTGAGCCACAATTTTTAAGACACACAGAGATTTGAGCCTCTTCCAATCCATTTACCGAACACCCAAGAGTCCCCTCTGTCAGAAGATTCTGTGGCGTCCTGATCAAATGTAAACCGAAGCCCAGACCAGTTCTTCTCTCCAACCACTAATAAATTTACAATACACGCCAAACAACTAAAACTCAAAGTAAAATGAGGTTTCCTCCTGGCTTTGAACGAACAGTTTCATTCATCAGAATATCTCTTTATATGAAGATAGAGAGCAGCAACTTCCCAGACTCAAACAGAGAAAAGAGTCTAAGTACGGTTGCTGTATGACAAGAGATGAGGTGAAGGGCAGCAACCATTAGAATGTGAGCATAAAAGTATTACAATGTCATTAAATAAAAGGGGAAATAGATTTTCTATCATCAATACTTACTGATCTAGACTACTGTTCAAAGGAACACCTTCAATATAAGGTGTTTACAGTGGTTTTAGCTGCCCAGTTTGTGCCAATATTTTATGAACTAGGTGTACACATAATTTAAGGTGACCAGATTTCTGATATAAAATCAAGGGACAGGGAATGAATACTGTTGTTCAGGACTGTGCACCACATGCTTACTCGCACTTCCTACCTACCGCTACTACCTTAATAACCTAATAACTGTTCTAGTCTACATGCAACATTTTTTTTCTCATTTATGAAATGCTAACATAAGGGAAATTTCCAGGGACAGCTTTAGCCGGGGACAGGTCATTCAAAATGGGACTGTCCCCAGAAATCGCGGATGTCTGGTTACTCTAACACAACACTAAATTCGGTTTAGTGGCGATCATTTCTCAATCGGAGGGTTAGATTCCCAGGCTGCCTTACATGTTGAAGTGTCCAGCATGTGGACTCTTGCCCCTACTGGTTACACTTAGTGGTGTGGTGGGTGAATTTGGTGTGGATGGGCGTACATTTCCACCATATAGACTGAGAACTTTCAGGTCCACTCACTAAGTGTGGACCTCTGTTTCTGGTCAGGTTCTGGTCTTGTGTGAAGCAATAGACAATAAACTTTTCAGAAAGCATTCTTGTCGTATTGCTAGATTATATTCATGATATTAAGGATTATAACCCTAACCCTCTAATCAGAAAATGGGGAGGCATTAAGAGTAATATAGATTTCCTTGCAATGTTAACTTTTTCATCACATCTGTTGTTTTCACCTCTGACACAACTGAGAAATCATCCATCATTTGATTAAAAGAGTACAGGTTAGCCAGTCTGTCACTCTTAGAGTCAGTGAAAGTTATCACCAACTTCATAACCGGTCATGCAGCTCAAAAACCGGGTCATACTGTCAGTCCAGTTTGCAAAAACAGGTCAATAAAAATGATCAATTTGTCTTGTTGTATATTTCATCCTATTATCTCGTCAATGACATTTTCATTCTTGTTTTTCGTCTACTGACTTCCATAGTAACCAGTCCCTTGAGATGAATTAACTCTTTTTTGTGTGTGCGTGAGAACAATGGTCTCGGTGTGAGACAATGGCGTGATGTGTGAATGATTATAATGATGAATGTGTGTGAGACAGTGTGATGATATATGTAAGACCAAATGAGTGTGTCGGGGGGAAAGAATGACAGCGCATGTGAAGAGAAAATAATTGCGTGTTTGACGGAGTAGGACTATCTAAGTGAGAGACAATGACTGTGTGTTTGAGAAATTATGATGGTTAATGCGAGAGGGGGTTGCATTGTGTGTGAGAGGCTATAATTAAAAAGGAAGCTTGTTCAGCCAGACAAGCAGACAGCTTAAATCTCTTTGCTTTCATTTACTCAAAGACTTAAAAACAATGCCTTTACACCTGAGCACCACCAGCTGAATTGGAGATACATTTGCATGATCAGTGGAAGTGACAAAATGTTTAATTCAAGACAAGCTAAACTGGCCGCTCTCTCTAATCTGCTGTTTGCTCCCTCTTTTTGGTGCTTTTGAGACATTGAAGAAATACTAGCATGCTTCGGTACTGTCAGGGGTTTGCTCTTTGGATACTGACAGCTATATGGAATTGGCCCGATGACCTTCAGGAATGTCTGGTGAGGTTTTGACTCACATTGTTGATGAGATATCCTTTGAAGAAGCCCTAAAGCAGGTGAAAGGCATGTTTTATTTAGCCTTCCTTCCTGTAGTGCAAGAATATATTGTTGGCCATGAGACAGTGCAGCTTGACTTTACTCTACAGTGATGCATCCTGCAGCTTGGACAGAAGAATATATGCTCAAACATCTGCTTTAATTAAAAGCCATCGGATCGTTTGCCCGTAGTTGTTGGTAGTGTTGTGGCAGAGTCAGAAAACCTAAAGTCTGAGTCTTGAGTCCTGGATGTTGAAGTGTAAGTTGAGTCCACAGAGAAATTTGTGCAAATTTTAAGTCGAGTCCTGTCCCAGTGTCCAAGTTTGAGTGAAATCATGAACATTTTTTATTTTTAAAAGGAAGGTATTTCAGCACATTCTGTCGTAGTGCCCACTTTATTTTGGACGTTTGAGTGTGATAATGCTTATTTATACCCAATAATTAGTAAAAATACAATAAGGCTGATATAGACACAGAGATAAGTGTAAATAGCTGAAGACTTAAAGGAGACCTGCCATCAAAATTTCATACCCATTTTTATCATTTTTTCATAATCCTTGATTTCAAAAACACAGGACATGATGTTAAAAGATCCAAAGTGCCTGGGGACTCTGCATGGCAGGGGCATCCTACTCCCTGAGCCAGGTTTGCACCTGACCGCATACCTACACACTTGAAGACTTGAGCATTGAGATGTTGAGACAGCTGGACAGACACTTCACAGGGGTTATCAAGTGGGTTCCTACTTTCACCAACGTTTCGCTGATTTAACCCCACGACGTCTCCAGTAGGCTCAGCAGTGTAATCTGGCATCCCAGAAACACCCCCCTCTGCATCTGCCCAACCAGTTTATTTGGGAGACCAGCTAGGGTCTTTCCTTTTCAGCCAAAGCCACTGGCTACACCGCTCTGCCACTCTGGATAGATCCTTGATGGCCTGGCATAGGACTTGCCCACTGATTCCCAGGTCCTTCATCAGCCTCACAGTCGACGTTGCCACAAACCCCCGACATCCAACTTCTGCTGGGCAGACCTTTGCACTCCAGCCCCTCTGTTCTGCTTCTGCTGCGAGATCTGAATAACGCAGTTTCTTTCGTTCAAAGGGTTCCTCTACCGCATCCTCCCAAGGGACGGTGAGCTCCACAAAGTACACTCTGCGCTGTGAGTTGGACCACAGGACTAGGTCAGGCCTTAGGTTGGTGATGACTATCTCTGGTGGAACTAGGAGCTGTGTTCCCACGTCCACCAGCATCTGCCAGTCTCTGGCTGCCTCCAGTTCGCCCATTCTGGCCTTTGGTGGAAACTTCCTCTGTCCTTGTTTCCCTTCTCGAACAAACGCAATCGAGTTGGCCGAGTTGGTTACTCTGGGCGGCAAGGCATTGATGGTGGTTCTTCTGCTTTCCAGACTTGCGGCCAGGCACTTAAGAACTTGGTTATGTCTCCAAGTGTACCGCCACTTTACACCCAACAAGGATGTGTCTGAGTGTAGCTCGTGTTGAACACGGGGGCATGATGGATCTTCACCCACCCATTGGTTGAGATTTGTAGGTAGGAAGAACGTCATAAGTGGATCGGATGAGAAAACTTATCCTACTTGCCTCCATCTCCCACATGTCCTTCCAGCTGATGGTTCGTTTCTCCACACTCTCCCATCTCATCCACTGGCCCTGTTTTACCTGTGACACCGCCTTGGCACACCTGTTTGACTCCTCCTGTCGGCGGACTTCGGCCACAACCATCTTCCGACGCTCCCGAGAGGCTGCCTTGTTCCAGCACGGACGCTTTTCACCCAGTCCCAAGCCACCTCTTCCATGTTGGACTTGGCCCACGATGTCACTGTGGTGGAGAGCAGATTTTGCCTGCTGTACTGCGTTCTTAGCCGTCCACTTCCTTCCTGATGCCACAGTTGGAGCAGCAGCTCGGATGACAGTGTCTTTTGATTCTGCCAGGGTCATCTCTAGTCTCACTTTTGTACATTTGAACTCCTCTGTGAGGCTAGAGAGGGGCAGCTGGAGTAGCCCTTGACCATAGAGGGCTACACTGCTGAGGCATCGAGGGACCCCTAACCACTTTCTCACATGAGAGCTTATCATCCTCTCCATTTTCTCAACCCTTGTGAGCGTGAGACCATTCATGGTTAGTGGCCACATGAGGCGAGGCAGTAATCCGAACTGTAAGCACCAGATTTTCAGCTTGCCGAGCAACATGGATTTGTCGATGACCTTCAGACCTTTGATGAGTTCCTGCCTGAGTTTGTGCGCCTGGTCAGAGTTCTTTAGCTTTGAATTGTACCATCTTCCCAGGCTTTTGATTGGCTTTTCCGCGACCGTTGGGATAGGTTCTTCATCGATGAAGAACCTTTGCTCCGTCAGTTTGCCTTTAACTATGGAGATGCTTCTTGATTTGGATGGCTTGAATTTCATTCTGGCCCCAGTGATGTTCTCTTGACGCTTCCCTAGAAGGCGCCTGGTACACGGTATTGTTGACGTCATGGTTGTCATGTCGTCCATGTAGGCCCTGATGGGCGGCAGCTGGATTCCAGATGCCAAGCGCTCACCGCCCACCACCCACTTGGAGGCTCTTATAATGACTTCCATCGCCATGGTGAATGCCAATGGGGAGATGGTGCACCCTGCCATTATGCCAATCTCCATGCGGTGCCATGTGGTGGTAAAGTCTGGCGTGGTGAAGCAGAGCTGAAGATCTTGAAAGTAGGACTTGATAAGGTGCTTGATGGTCTCAGGTATCTGAAAGAAGTCAAAAGAAGCCCAGAGGAAACTGTGAGGGACGGATCCAAACGCATTGGCAAGGTCAAGAAATACAACATGGAGATCCCTCTTCTCCTTCTTAGCAGTCTGAATTTGGTGCCAAATCATGCCGGTGTGTTCAAGACATCCAGAGAACCCTGAAATGCCTGCTTTTTGGACTGCCATATCCACAAGGTTGTTTCTCTCCAGATAGCTGGACACCCTCTGAGCTATGACGCTGAAGAAAATCTTACCCTCCACATTAAGCAGACTGATTGGGCGGAATTGGCTGATATCTGTAGATTCCTTCTCTTTTGGAATTAGGACTCCTCCTGATTGGCGCCATGCTTTGGGTACAATTCCCTTTTCCCAGGCCACTCTCATCAGTTTCCACAGAAAACAAAGAACATCTGGAGCATTTTTGTAAAGTCTGTACAGAACTCCATTTGGCCCAGGGGGTTATGAAGCTCTCGCCCGCTTGTTCCACCTCCCTCCACTTGGGAGGATTAGTGTCCATTTGATGTTCGGGTTCCTCGATTGGTGGAATGTCAGATGGAATAGCTACCTGCTCGTGCTTCCTGTCATCTGCACACATTCTTTCCAGAAATGTTTCCAGCTCTTGGCTTGATGTTGTCAGGTTTCCTCCCTTCTCTTTGGTGAAGAGTGTTTTCACGAACTTGAAGGGGTCCTTGAAAAAACGGGATCTTGCTCGTTCTCTCTTTTTCCGGGACTTTCGCAGGTTCTCTGCTCGTCTCAGAGTGGTTAGCCGGCTTTTGATGTTTTCCTGTAGAATGTTGATGCCCTCCTTCTCAAGATCAGAAGCCTTCCTCCACTGCTTCTTGAGCTGCCTTCTCTCCCGGATCAGTCGGTCGATCTCCTGCTGTCGTCTGGATTTGCTCTCTAATGCTGGTGCCCTTCCCTGCTTGTTCCTTACTCCATACCGTTCCGCTCCATATGAGTAGATGATGTCTCCCATCTTGTCAAGCTTTCGTTCGACTGTGCCGCTCATGGTTTGTAGGACGCTGGTCAGGTCCCTGTTTATTGTCTCCCATTCTTTCTTCTCCGAGGCTCCAGGCCATTTCACCCGGGGTTTGTTTCCACTGATCTTTTTCTCCATTGCTGGTTTTGGCTGGATGGGCTCCATACATTCCTCTGCTGCCTCGTCCAATGTGCTTGAGTGTCCTTCTTCAGGAGGACTGATGTCCTGCGAACTTTGGTGAGATTCCGGTCGCTGAACTTCATTCGACTGACTTGATTGACTTCTCAAGAAGTACGTATCAATGCGAGGTTCCTGTTTTCCTTCTTTCAAGCACTTTTTTCTCCCTTGATGTATTTTCAGGCCCAGTGACGAAGTCACACTTGATGTCCTCTGATCATGTTTGCAACATAATTTTAGCTGAAAAGTTATTTGATGGTTTGCTTTAGTATGCCTAAAAAGCCTTACAGGAAAACCAACTGATTTTGGCTCATTAACATTTATGGTAATGAGCTTTGCTCTGATTAGATCGCTGCTGTGAAGCCTGCTGTGCTCTGATTGGCTCAGCAGTGGAGGTTCGGATTTCGGTTTATCCATTTTGCTAATGTGTGCTAAAGTAAGGTGCCCAGATGTCTGTAATGATATCCGGGGATATCCGGTGCGGCAGCTTTTGCAGGGGACAGGTCATCAAATACTGGGACTGTCCCCGGAAATCGGGGACGTCTGGTCACCTTATGCTAAAGGCTAAAAATGGCAGGTATTAAACCATATATTTTAGACCCCGAGTCCGAAGAGGAGGTGGAAGTTGAGGAAGAAGCCGGAGAGCTCCAGCTGTGTTTTCTCATTCATTCTGTCCAGCTTTAAGTTCATTTTCCCAGCAGTGAACCCAAGGAAACACCGGTCGTTTGGAAGAGACCCATAGCAGATACAGTGGTAGCTGGATCTCGCTCTGGTTGGAGAGTGATGTTGACTGTGAATGAGTACGAGAATGAGAGAGTGGGCGCGGCTCACCGAGGACGCGCTCATCAATAATAATGAGCAAGGTCAGCGCGACGTCAGAGGGACCTGCTTTTTCAATTGGCCTGGTTTAACCGTTCCTTTATTTTAAGCCTTTACAGAATGCAAACGACGTAACAGTTTGTTTTCACATTTACAACTTAAGACGAACATAATATGGACCTTATCTGACACAAAAAACACAAAAAATTACATTTTGATGGCAGGTCCCCTTTAAAGGTGGGGTAGGCAGGTTCTGAGGAAGTGCCAGTTTTTGGGAGAAATCTTGAATGTAAACACTACCCCTCTCAACCAGTTTTCCCCTCAGCTCCTCCTCTCCCCTCCCTCTCTGCTCCAGTAAGCCCCATCCACAAACAGACACTTCTGCTCGCTCATATTGTTTCAATTAAATTCAGATATAATACAGATAGATACTTCAGATAAATACAAATGGGGCCCAGTCAAGGTGAAAGTAAAAAGCACTGGTGCTACTGTAGATGCCAACAGACTACCAGCAACACAATGTTTGCAGGACTTCTAAAACTAGCGTAAAGTGACATAGTCCAGGACCTGAGGTCAACAGTTTAGCGGCGCTATAGCACGCAGCAGGTCCCATTTGACAAGAAACACTTCTGTTACAGACACTTGGCTTACTTTGTTAAAGTGGTTTACCTGTCCAGCAGAAAGGTTACAGGGTCCATAAGATCCCAAAGCGTCCCCCATGTTTATACTGATGTTGACCTGGCTTCTTAGCTCTTGTCCAGTCTACCTCTTTTTTGAGCTTATTATTTCACCAGAGTCTGTGGTATTTACTTCGTTTTCTTGCTTGTGTTGGCAGTCATGGCCAAAGGAGGATTCAGACAATTTTCCATACTTTCTGGTTGGTTTCTATTGTTTATTTGTCTGGGCTCGTGACCATTATTCAGCGTGCATCACAACATGAGGGAGCAGAGTCTGCCTCACAACCAATCAGGTTGGAGGCAGAGAATGGCTTTGTTAATAGTCAGAAAGAGCAGGCAGCTCAAAAATTGTTAAAAGTTGACTACACAGACATGACAAAACATAATGATATCATTATATTACCAAATGCCATTAATACTACTAGCTATTGACTGATATTAAAAGCTTTTTTTGTGGATACACCACAAAAAAAGATGCTTCTTTAATGGAATCCTGCCTACCCCACCTTTGATGAACTATTAAAATTGTTGCTTACATCACTGGTACACAAGAGCATTAAGCCTTTTGTGCCTGGAGTTAGTGAATAAGACCTGACTGAGAAGATATGGTATAAAAGCCTGCCTCATATAAAGGCCTGGTACCTTTGGCAGTAAAAACAAAAGACCTGGCCCATATTTAAAGAGTTACAGTAATTGTGTAGAAGTGGGGTTAATGCAAGCATCTTATAAACTTGGAAATATCAGTGAACCATCTGCTGTCACCCTTCAAAGCCAGGCTCTTCTGAATGAGTGTGTGTGTAGTTCCTATGGCTTTTGCAGACAGCCTCAAATGAACACAAGAAGAACTGCAGTTTTTAGCACATCCTTGTTGGTTTTATATTTGTAAGGATGCCTAGCCCATGTTCACACTTTAAAAAAATGGAAGGTCCACACAAATGATCATTTTGACAAGCTTTACTGGTTGCAGCTCTCGGTTTCAGCTTCACCATGCCACAAGTGTAACACAAGTGTCACAAAGTGTAACAATAGTGTACCACAAGTGTAACAAAGATTGGTCTGAGACCATTCAGGTTTATGTAGTCGTCCACGTTTCCAAACATTCTGCTTGCATCTTGTTGACCTAAAAGAGAGTCCATGTAGGGTAATAACAAAGCATAACATATTTTTGGAGCCTGAGTGATGTTAAACATGGGTACAAGGTCCTTGTTGAGGATAGTTGTCGAAGGCCCATGGCTCCAGAAATCTAGCACCAAAGTATCCAAGGTATTTATGTGACACAGCACCAGCACCCTAAAGGTTGACATGACTGGCTAAAGAAAATCCCCCAAAATATATTTCAACACTGGGGGCTGCTGCTTGGGTTAAATAAACTTTTAATGGAAAATGCTGCTTAAACTGTGCTTATTCTCTGTGAAAAATTTGGTTGTTACAGTTTTTTTAAATACAGACAAGAAGCAGAAAGGTGAGAGGCAGAAAAAAATACAATATAGAACTGTAAATATGTTAAAATAAAGATATTCTTAGAGATTAAAATCCTAAGAAGTTGGTTGTTTTGCTGCTTAAGTAAAAGTGACAAAATGGTTTATGTTTTCCTTCTGGTAGTCTAACAAAAAACAGCTCAGACTTCTTGTTATATCTTTTTGTACAGTCAGAGCGTTTCCCATTTCAAAAGTCTTTCTGTGTTTTTGTCAGCACTCAGGCTTAATGCCGCCACTCAGTTCGTGCAGTCTGCCAGTCAGTGCGTGTAACACTGATGACTTGTGCCGACAATGGTATCACTTGCACAACCTCTGGAAAATATTGTGGAGATTTTGAAGCTTCAATTTGACAAACAGCAGTAAAACAGAAACATTTCTTGCATTGATCATACGAGATGCTTCACCAAACATTAGACTTGGTGGTTAAAACTCTGTACTATGCCTGTTAATATGATGCACCCAGGATTACTCAGACTCATTAATCCTATTCCTCATGCTGTCTCTGCCAATTTGACTTCTTTGATAAACAGGCGTTTTATCTTTTACTATTCAGCGTGACGCAAACACTGCTCTACGACGACTTTCTGATGTGGAGATGGTGAAGTTTTGGCCTAAAAAGGAGGGCAAGAATAAAAAGCTAATTAAATGAAGAATCTCCCAATCTTATAGAGGATATAGATAAGAAACTCTGAGAGTTCACACTGAGCTCCGTCCAGATAACAGAATGATTTCCTGTAGAGTCTTGCCATGTTTCAAACTGTTGTTTCATATCTTCCATCTGATTGGCTTGACCAGTTCAGTCCATTGAAAAGTTAAATGATTGCCCAGACTATTGAATTATAGCTCTTGAAGAGATGACAGATTCACAATAATGGATGTCTACCCCCGAAATGTAAGTGCAGTCTATAGGAATCTGGCAGGAAACCACCAAAACCAAGTCTGTGTGTAATGGCCCAGCTAGTGTCCAAATCCAGATCTAAAAGAAAAAACAGCATTAATAGAAATGGATGGTGTGCGACCTGTGACCAAACAAGGGCAGAGTAAATGGGAATCTTTGAGAAATCGATGAATCGGGACCCAAACTGCAGCACTTACAAGAACTATTCAAGTTCAGTTCCCCGTCCCAGTTTTCAAACATCATTCAGCTCAAAACTTTGGACACGTCTTGTGAGAACCATCCAGTAAGAACGATCCATTTACAGTCCGAAACAGAACCGGGCATGTTTATCGTTGTGCTGCATCACCTCTTCTTTTAACATCACTCTGTAAAAGTTTGGGAACTGGGGAGGCCAGAGCAATGTTTGCCTGATAAAGGATTTCAGCTGCTCAGTTTTGTCATATTTTTGTTGTTTTATGATGCAACAAATATTTCAGTGAGTCTGGGCTGCAAGAGGGGTATTTTAACACCAGAACCCTTCTACTTAGGAGTCACACTGTTGTAAGATTGTGCAGATTGCAGTTTGTCACTGTCTTACTAAACTTTACAGTCTTTCCTGGAAAATGCATCAAATGTTCTGCTATAATATCTGAGTTTAATGTGCAGCATTAATGGACTGTGTGCTGATAACAAGCCAGGTAGTCCCTCCCAAAATCAAAATCAAATTTTGATTCATTGGATTTCAGGACCTTTCTCAGATTGACCTTAGTCCAGAGACGCTCCAACATTTATTAATCATGTAAATACATGTTTTCTTGAGACCATTCAGTGATTTCCGCTGCAGAGTTATGTCTGCTTTTAAAGAAGGCATTAAAATCATAGCTATACAGTCCTGACTTTGGGCCTGGTCTCTTTTATGCAGGGATTTCCCCAACTTTCTCAATCTTCTAATACTTTCCTTACTCTTGACTATAATATCCTCATCTTTTTCACAACTTCAGGCTGGAGAACAGAAGACTGAAACTCATACAGTTTATCAGAGAACAGTGAATCACTTCCTGTCTTTACTTCTGGGAGACTCAGCCTCCCTTGATTAGCCTTTTTTGGTACCCAGTTACAGTATGTTCCTAACCAGTTGCAATACAACCTGAGAAATGTTCCTCCAGGATTTTTATTTTTTTATGACATCACACAACTTAACACAGCCACACACTGTAAGATATTGATGTTAAGATGATCAGCTGAAAGACAAAAACAGGGAAATATATTAAGATTTCACTTTCCACGAAAAAAAAAATATATATATATATAAATGAGCGTTTCTTTTTCTTTTTAAATCTTTTATAAGGCAGCAGCAGAAAAATAAGCCTAAAATCAAATTCCTTGACAGCTACAGTACATACAGTATGTCTCATGTTTGCCTGTTTCCTCCCTGTTTGTTTTACACACCTTTATAAATTGAGAAAAGATTGTGTAACGCCGGCATTGTTATGGTAGTCAAGGACAACATGCTGCATTAATTCACAGACCCAGCATGTTTGAAGTACCTGCATCTTTAATTCACTGCACACGGCCAGTGTCATACCTGTAACAGAACCACGGAGCATGCTGAGAACCTGGCTGTTGTACCAGTGTTATGATAAGTCACAAAGGATGCCAATTACTCTGTTGCTGCTTCTGTTGGATCTACAATAACTGCCCTCATTTAACAGTGCTGTATTAAATTGCACACTCACACAAGCCCCTCAAGGCTGGCTATTATGTCAAAGATAATGTAAGGTGGATCGTACCAGACAGGTCCTGACAGGATGTTATTCAGCTGTAGAGACCTTTTCCCTGATCAGACTTTGATAGTTAGGCTCGGGCTGCTCTCATTACTGTGCTCACTTATGTGCTTACTAAATCAATCAATGGATCAATCAATCAATCAATCTTTATTCATACAGTATAGCCCCAATTCACAATTGCTTCACGAAAAAACTTGGTCTAGACCACACTGTACCTACAAAGACCCCACCTATGGATGGGATAAGGCTGAGCCATCCCATCCCAAACTATTTAGAAAGTTACAGTGGAGAGGAAGAACTTCCTTTAACAGGCAGAAACTTTGAGCAGAACCAGACTCATGTTAGACAGTAATCTGCCAAGACTGATCAAGATAGCTTGTTATTTCTTAGATTTTATTTATTCAAGTTCATTAAACCAAAACACTGATGGTGAATTTAAAGACCCCTTCCTTGGCAGTAGACCAGTGGAGTCTCTTTGATGAACCTAGCTTGTAGCAGAAGTCTTTCGTATTGACTGATCTCCTTTCAGTAGATGGTTATGACTGGCGGCGGCCCACCAGAGTCTTTGCATTTTTGGCAATGGTCTCTGACAGCTGTTTGCTATTTAGACAAATCAGATTGTAATTGAGCAATCAGGGCGGATTAATCAACAATGTGGAGTGATAAAGAGTGGTTTAATCCATCATGATGAAGATCGTGATTGAAGGCCGGCAGTGCACTTGTCTTTTTGGCGGATTGAGTTTTCAATCAGTCTTGGAACTTTTGCTTAAAGCTCGAGTGAGGAACTTTTACTTTGTGTGAACTTTGTCTCACCAGAATCCCATCCTTCTGTGGAAATAATCATTTGAGATATCTATTTGTAGAGATAAATTTAAGCTAAACTGTTGTCATGATAGCCAGGATTGTTTTACAGTTGATGCATGTTTTTGCTTTCCTCATAAATCCTGAAACAATACGACTTCCACATCCGAGGCGTCATGGCCAACCAAGTCTCTATTCATGGAGTTCACTGAGGTTAGCCAACTTCTTGGATCACACAAAAATGCTATGATGATGTGTTGTTGGTTCCCCTCTAAGGTCAAGAGCTCGGTCTGATTGGCAGTTGTACTTCTGCAGGCTTAAAACTGAGCAGAAAGTGCTGCTTCACATTATTTTTAAATAGCTTCCTGGAACTGGAAGAATGCTTGATAGCCCTTAAAAAAAGCTGCTTTTAGTATCAGCTCTGCACATAAATCTGAATTACAGTTTGTCACAGGGAAATGCATGCGATGCCAGAGACACCTTAGTAAGTATTATTTACGTTATAGTGCCTTGTTAGACTTGTGGATGAAAACATAGAGGCATTAATGGAGTAGGAGGTGAACTGAGACTGGGGCTGGACTGGACTGTTGTGAACCGTCAGCATTTGTATTGCTTAGAGGGAAAATGCCAGTGGGGAGGAAAAAAAGCAAATATGGCTGAAAAATATAAGACATTGTTTATTGAATGACTTCTTTTCTTCGTTTCCACCCTGCCTTACAAACCCAGGCGTGCACAGGAGGAGAACTGTGGGTTTTATTTTTGAGATGCTTTCCCAAGGGAGGTAGAGGAGGCAGCTGAGAGGACTGAGGGAAAATGAAAAATGCTAACTTCTATGAGCTTTATGAGATTTTTTTTCCACTCCAGTCAAAAAATAAATAAATGAATAATGGGAGCTTGAGAGTCCTTGTGAGTTAAGGTTTGGAGAAAAGATAACAAAGGTCAGGGCCAAACTACCTCTTCTGGTTATTTGAGTTATCATCTTCAATGTACTCTGAATTTTCTTCTATTTTTGAATATGATACATGCATCAACAATAAAACCTTTAAAGCTGAATTGCTGTGGCCTTCTTGCTCAGGGTAGTATTGTGTTCAGCCCAGGACACAAATGCAGGGCCGCCCTGTGCTTCTGTTGGGCCCTGGATAAAATTGTAAAGAACACATATAAAGTTTGTGGAGGTGGTTGAGGAGAGAGCTCAGCTTGCCAGCCTTGATGACCTCTGGAGGGTTGCCATCGCTTCCTGGAGCTTTACCACAGGCTAGGGTGTCGATGGCCTTCCTGAGCTCATCTATAGAGGGTGGAAAGTCAAGCTCTTCCATGACAGGCAAGGAGACAAGACTTTCCTGAGACTAAACTCCAAATAACTATTGTGGTATTATCCATCTGACACCTTATCTGACTCCTCTCTATATGAAGTAGCAACAGCTCTACTCTGAGCCCCTCCTGGATGACCGAACTTCTCACTCTATCTCTGAGGGGGAGCCAGGCAACCCTGTGAAGGCAACTCATTTCAGTGGCTTGTACCATGATTTTGTGCTTTTGGTCACTACTACAGCTCATGACCATAGTTAAGGGTAGGGACCTAGACAGACCGGTAAGAAAATTCTTCTGAATAACATTGTAATTTTTAACAAAAGTTACAATGTTATTCAGATGAATTTTCTTACCGAAGCGATGTACATATGAATCACACACACCAGTGGAGGACACATACTGGGGGCAAGGAGAGTTAAGTTTCTTGCCCAAGGACACAACAGACAGACTAGAGATAGTGGGGAATTGAACCACCAACCTCCCAGTTATTGTACGACCGCTTAACCTCCTAAGCTTCTGGAGTGAAGTGAAGAATACTTGGGTTAACTGTGACGAGATGCGAAAACTGGACAAAGGGAATTATCAAAAATACTTCATATCATGAGTTTAGTTGTGAATGGATGTTTGTCATTAACCTCTCATCAGAAACTAGGGAGGCATCAAGAGGAGCAGAGAATCTTTTAGTAACATTACCTGTTTTGGCAAACTGCTTTTTGTTGTTGTTGTTGTCCTCCTTTGCGGGATTGTAAGATATTGGCAGTGGAGGACATTTACGCCCTTAGTTTGCCTTAAAAACACACATCTTGTCACAGTCAAACAGTCCCACATTATCTCTTACTGTCATTATGAATAAACCCACATCAACTTGATGGTCAATGATCCAGTCAAGCCACACTCATGAGAAACACCATACTGTATACACCGAAAGGGTCTACAGATAATTTTCCAACATATCCCCCTCCAAGGTTTACGTTTTTATTACTTTCCATTTTTTTAAAAACAATTGTTTTGACTTTTTGTTTTCAATTTAAGTAATGCTAAATATTTAGTTTTAGTCAGATTTTTTAAGTTTTAATGCTAGTTTTAGTTTGTAATACAGAATATCTATAGGGGATAAGACTCAAAAAGACCTCAAAATATATTGTGTATAAAAAAAATTCAATACATGATACTATTCAAAAGTTTTTGTATTCTAAAAGTCTGACGAATGCAATAACTCTGTTTTTCTGAGTGTGTGGGTTGGGCCGTCAGGGTCAAGGACATCTCTGTGTTTTTATTCTGGATAGTTTTGTAAACATATATTACAGTTTGAGCTTGGATACTCTTGAATTCTGCACCACAGGTGGGTCCTTCACTCTTTCAGGGTCCAAGGCGGTGAGCTGTACGACCTCATAAACAGGCTGGCTAAGCTCACATGTATCGTTTAGCATCTCATTCCCCTCTGATATGCCATCTTGCAAGAACCATAAGATTCATGAACTGACTAAAACAAAGATCTGAGTGTCTACCTCTGGAGGTCTTTGGTGGGTTTTTCTCTGATTTCCATCTCGGTGTCAAAAACTCTTTGCTTAATTGTTTTGATCAAAGAAGTTTCTAATTGAATGTACAGAAAATTCCATCTGAAAAAGGCATTTTGATTATCCTGCAGTGGCCTGTATAATTCAAGGTCTTCAAAACCTAAATGGATTTTCTGACCGGCTCCTCCAACCTGTTTTATTCAGAGTATCTCAAGAGAGAAATGGAAAAAATAATTGAGAAGAGAAGAAAACAGTGAAGTTGAGCTCACTGATTAATTCTCCCCTGCTGTGAGTCTGTCTGTACGCCACAGTGTGCTCTGAAATACAGCTCAAACTATACATCCCAGTTTATCGTGAGACTTCTTTATAAGGAAGTGAAACCTTCAAGTTAGAGAGAAAAATGACATGTTTTTCTTGGATGTTTGTGGCTCATTACACTTAAGCCTGGGGACAGTAATCTATGAGATTACAAATAAGTGGGCTCTACTGCTGGAAGGCAGGATCTGTGCATTTTTGCGTGGGGAGAGGGAATTTGGCAGGCTGCTGTCAAGCCAGTGGATCAAAGTCCTTTTCCCACTGCAGTGGCTCATCACAACAACAGAGAGAGGGAGAGAGAAAGAGAGAGAGGGAGAGAGAGAGATCTTGGAGGAAGAAAGCTTACGCCACTCATGGTTGGCTTAGTGTGCACACTTGCTTCACATTTTAGATCCAAGCCCATACTGAGCAGAGCTCAATAAAGCACTCAAGTCAGCAGGGGAGACTAGATGTGCTGTCAGTGTCGGTACATCCAAATGGCTTGTGACAGTGACACACCAGTGAGTACAGAAGCAGTGCCTTCATGCTAAATATGAAAAGGATGTCAACATTTGGAAAGATGGCGGCTCCAAAAATCTGAACCCAGGTTGAAAGATTTATTGCATGAAGGAAATCTTGATAGACTACACTGTTGCTAGGATTCTCCTACTTTTATATTTAATCCCATTCATTATTCAGCAGTTAACTAAGACATTAACCTTGGTAACAGTAAGTCCCAATCTAAAACAAAGGTCATGTGTGGTGTGAGAGAGGCCAGTGAAGGGTTCCCTCTATCTGCTGCAACCCACACCATTAAAACAATCACACTCAAATCACTGAGCTTGTTAACAATAAGACCACAAACTGCACCACATCCTCATAAAATCCTCCTTTCACCTGTTGGCGGGCCTGGACCCATGTGCCTTGCAGTCTTCCATCCAGACCAGAAGACGTAGACCCGTCCTTCATCAGAGAAACAAGCATTTTGCTTTCCTGTAAAATAGAAGTCCTAGCTGCCCATTCTTGATGTTCAGCTAAATGCTTTCTTTGTCTCATTGATTAGCCTCTTTTGTTGTCTGACTAGTCAGCAGGCTGCTTAAGGGAACAGCCGTTCAATCTCTGTCCGAGGTCTTTGTCGTCCTGAGCAGAACCGGACCTCAGCTCACCTGTAGATTAGCAGAAAAGTCAGGTTGGGTTCCATTTCAGTTTTAATATTCTAGTAATTATTCTAATCTACAGTACATTTGGAGAGGAACAAAACAAATACCTGGTTCTCACCAACAGGGTTAGCTGTTGCAAAGACTGAATTATATATAATAGGATACCAACTCTGTGGCCGCAGCAGCAACCAGCTCCGTGCGAAGGATTCACAAAGTGCTGCATAAAAGGGTCTAGAGCACCTGGCTGCAGACTCAGTGGATTAAAACAAACACTCTTACAGTGGGTAGTGATTTAATCACATATGATTGTCTGCTTTGAATGCATGGTTACGACATTAATAGGGAAAATGACATCTGAGACATCCGAGCGGGGGTCTATCTTTTCACTGCCTTTCTGCTTTTGGAGGTCTGTGTTTGAAGCCAGGTCCTCCTCAGTTTTATTAGCTAGCTTGTGGTAAGCTGTTGTGATTGAACCCCTCTGTACAGTGTAGATGTTCATGTTGTTGCTATTCAGTGTATAGCCCTGTATAGTGATTTCAGTTTGTGTAAACTAATTGTGCCAAAAATGGGTCACCAAACGTGTCTTTCTCTCTTGAAATCATGCCAAATAAAAGCCTTAACGTCTGGAGTAAGTTAAGTATCTGTTATTGTTTTCTCAGTCTCTGCGCATTTCTGTGTAGCATGGAGGGGGGGCTTTATTTGTAACTGTTTTTTTTTTCTTTCTTTCTTTTTTTTTATGTTTCTATTTTTCTCTGTGTGTAAAGCACTTTGTGTTGCATGTTCATGAATGAAAAGTGCTCTACAAAAATTTTTTGTTCGATTTGATTTGATTTGATCACCCAGAAGGCAGAGAACTGATCATGTTTTTTGGTAAAACCTGCAAATTAAGTTCACTGTAGTACAACATGACATACCTATTTAAGCTTTCCACCCTGAGTGTGAGTCCAGAGGGAGTAACCCGACATGTGAATAAGGTGAATTATGGGTAAAAGGTTGCTGTGTGTAGGTTAGAGTGAAGAATGACTTCTATAAGCAGTGGTATAGATAAATAACATACTCTCAGCCCACTGTGTCACGTTGCTCATCCTATATGACTCACATTTACTCTTGGCTCTGCAGCACCCTCTCTGCCTCCTTTTTTTTCTCCCCTTGTTAAACCAAGAAGTGCACATAAGCATGGAATCTTCTGTATGGCTGTGGGCATTTTTCCACTGACTTGATATCTGCGGACATTAGCCGAGGAAGGAAAACAGATTTGTGCAGACAAAAAGAGAGCTGCAATTAAAACAGGCTCTGGGATTACTACCGCTGCAATCGAGGTGCCCTTGAGCAAATTCCTTCCTCCCTGATTGGTCCATTGGAGTTGAACAGCGGTCAGCCACAATTCTTTGCAAATAGCAGTGTGATGTGTGCTGACACTGATTATTCAGTTTCAACTCCGAATCAGAAGGAAGTGAGATCAGCAGGATGAATGTAGAAGGATCAGTTTATACCCTATTTTTGGAGAACAGATGATACATGTTTAAACACTCTTTTCAAACACCGATATTTAGACATTCAGTCAAGAGTTAAGTGCTAGCTTTTCTGCAGAGTCTGTCACCACAAGGGAGATCTCTTTCTCCCTCATTCTCCTTGTCTCTCTCTCTCTCTGCATTCATTATTAATCAGCAAATGTTCTTTTTGGTTTCATAATCACTTTGATAATCAAGGTTGCTGATGGGAGAGCACACATTCAAAATTGATAGTTTGAGCATGGCCTACTCTAGGGACAAAAGTGTTAATTAATTAGGCAGTAAGGTGAAAGGGAAGTGCCCGGGCTGTGCTCAGAATTCCAGAGCACACCTGGGAATTTACCGCAAGACCCCCCTTGGAAGCATCAGTCATGATGCATAATCAGCGCGCACCAAGAGAGTGATTCAAGTCTTCTTTCATTCCTTTTATTACTAACATGGGTGACGTGGTTCAAAATGTGAACAAACAGAGACCAAAGATAAACTTACAAACAACAGAAACTCTGCTTTAACAAAGATATAAATAAACAGGTTTTAACTGAGTCTGACAGCGTTAAAAAGTGTAGTCTGAGTTTGTTCTTTGCTGAATTATCTCTTTATTTTGGCAGCTTTTCCTGCATTTACACATCCTTTATGCAGTCAAGAAACAGACGCCCACTAACATAACAACCCACAAGCAGCATGACATTACAGCAGTATCCAAATATGGTAAAGGTTGCAGCTGTGGTCTGTACTGGGAGAACAAAGAGAGCTTAGTTCATCATCAGGTTCCTGCTTATCAGTTCAATGTCACACTGTTGGGGAAACAACAAACTGTCAAACAACCTGTGAGTGAAATTGTAGCATTCATCTCGTTGTATGGCTTTAGTGGAAAAGTATGAGTCACAACTCCAAGGCTGTATTTCTCTTTTCCCATGCTCATTAAAAAGAATATAGATATAACCCTGCAAACATTTACTCCAAGTGATTTTCAGTAAATGATTAACAAACATATATACTGATAAAATACACGTGATAGCATACACAGACAATTTTTCTTTCACTTATTTAATCAATTACAAATCTGTATCAAGGTTGCACCAAGATGTATGTACCAAGGTAAGGAAGGCTAACCACGGCACAGAGACAGCTCTGCGTAAAGTAATGAATGATTTGCCTGATGGATTAAGATTGTGAGAAATCTTTGACTTAAGTTCTTTTAGACTCTTTTAGACTTTGGACTGCATTTAATTCTGTTGACCATTTGATTTTTCTTCAGCTTCTTAAACTCTGGATTGGTGTCTCTGGATCAGCTTTTTAGTGGTTTTGTTCTTATTTAACTGGAAGGTCTTTTAATGTTGCATTGATAACTCACAGTCATCTAGTGCTAATTTGTCTCGTGGGGTCTCACAGGGGTCAGTTCTGGGACCACTTTCACTTTTATGCTTAAGGCACCCAGCCTTACCTCTCTGCCCACACTGCACACACCCACATCACTGAAAACATCTGCAGCCTCTCTCAGCAAACATTTGTAACAGCTGCAAAAATCCAGGAGCTTGGAGAAGCATGTCAATTCATCGGTTCAATCAGGTTTTTTTCAGCATAGAAGACTTTCCAAAATCAGTCGCTTGCTTCCCAGAAAAATAACCTTGAGACAGTTGTACATGCCTTCATCTCCTCCCACCTAGACTATTGTAATTCCCTGTATTCTTGTCTATCAGAATAAACTACTACTAATCCAGAATGTGTCAGCCAGACTCCTAGCCAAAATAAAACAGAGAGAGCAGATCACCTCCATTTGAGCCTCATTCCACTGGCTTCTAGTTGAGTTTAAAGTTGATTTTAAGGTTTTAATGGTAACTTTTAAAGCTCTGTCAGGACTTGCCCTAAAGTACATTGCTGATCTTTTCACACCGTACAAGCCCAGTTGTACCTTGAAGTCCTCAGCCAAGGGTTTGCTTGGCTGATTTAAGTTTCTTCTTATACTTCTCAAAGTTAGAAGCTTTAAATACGTGAAGTAAAATGATGCTGCAATTGCCAAAATATGCACTCACATATTTGATGACACTGGTGTCCAAAATTTACAATTTTTAACATCTAGACTTCAATTTAGCTTGATACACTTTTTCTGCTTGGCCTGATAAAGTCATGCTTCAAGGTAATACTCGGCTCTGATCCATGACATTTCCATTTCCATTAGATATTACATTCAACAATATTACATATTGTACCAAAAACACAAACCATGATAATTTCCTCATGTCAGTTTCCTGCAGAAATGTTATCCAGCTGCAAACTTCCATGTGTCTCAGAATACCTTGTTCAAAGTCAAACCTAACGTATCCTTACTGACATTTATTTGGCTGCTTTCTTTTCCAATTCCATCCTGACTTTTCCCACATTTTTATTTTCATTTTCATGATGACTGACAAACGGAAATTGCCATCTGTAGATGTCAAATAATAAAGGATACACAGTCTCCTGTTTTATTCAGGAGTTGTCACCTTCGTGTGAGTCTCAGTGAACTGCAGCCGAACAGTGATATTGAATGGTGAGGAGACGTAAACAGAAGGCTTTCAAAAACGCTCAAGGAAAACAGGCAGCTATTTTCTGGAGTCTACTCTCACTCTTTGAAAACAACAGAGAACAAACATTGACAGAAAAGGACTTATTTTACTGAGAAAAACACACCACTCTTTTTAACAGTGAGAACCAGCAGATTGTGTTTGAGCTGCAGGATGGAGACCTGAAAACACTGAAAAAATATGAACATGAATTTTCTCAGTTCTTAAATTTTTGTTTTTATTATTAAAACGACTTTCTGGTTTGTTCCTTATCTCACAATGTATGTTATAATATCTATTTTGTTGTTATAATTTAACTAATTTTTTCATCTTTGATCTCCAGTGTGTATGTGGTTTCCACGCCTCTGCAGCCTGCCTCAAGTGGACACTCAGGGAACTGCAGTTTTAAGCACTTTCACTTTAGCTTGACAAATACACTGAGGGCGATTTCAGCCTGATCGCATATTTGCTGTTGCTCATCTACACAGCTGGTGACCTTATAATTAGTTCCTTGGCCCCATTCTTGACACAGTGAAGTACCATAGGGCAAGGTATTAAACCCCAAAACAGCTGATTGCTGGTGGCGCAAATAGAATGCTGGGCATTTCCCATCGAAGCGTTAACTTTTCATCCAGCTGCTACTGTAGATTGTGGTTTTCAAGTCTGCCAGTTGTCAAAATGCATTTTTTACAAGGCCTGAGGTCTTCACACTGTTGGTAGGATATAAAAAAATAAAAATCAAATACCCATGCCAACTTTTATTCCCTACCTGTAAGAACTGAAACTTGGTCAAGTCATAAAAATGTTTGACTTTGTTAGTCAGAGAGAAGCTGCTTCCCACACTTCTCATTAAAAGCCCACTCAGACTGTTACCTCTGCAAGACCATAACAGCATCATTGTACTTGGGGCGATGTGCAGCGTTTTAATGTAAAATGCAGTTCACGCTGAAAAACTCCAAAAAGAAACTCTTCTTTTGTAGGAGCACCCTTTTTTTATCGAACTACCCCAAGGAATAAAAGGAAAGAAGTAAAGGACATACATAAGTTTGAAGAGGAGTTTATTCTACACTGAAAAAGTCCATCTCTATATGTTTAACTCCTCTAACTGTGTACCTGCTGTTCAGGTGTCAAGGTGTAAATTACATCCGTTTTTTCGAGGTGGGTGTTTGGCCCAAAAGGCGACAGTTGGAGTCACAACGATGATGTGGCGAGGACAGCAGGGGTAAACTGTTAAAAATCAGCAAGCGGTCATAACACACACAGCACACACAGCCACTCCGAGGCAAGATGATGTATTTCATGAACAGTGGGAGAGAAGCCTGTGGGCCCAAACCGATAAAGAAAAGCGTGAGATTGCACCAAATGTGTGATCGATGTAAGAGAAGCCAATTTCAAGGGTGGGAAAATATTCTGCATGCAGCTATTTCTTAAAATGAAGAGCTGTGAACATGTCAGGATACAGGAAAACATTTCTACGAGGAAAGTAAATGTGAGGGCTCGGGATGTGGAAATAATGCTTAAAAGAAACACCAGTTCCAGGGAGGTATACTTAGACCTTTATACCTACAAAATATGACTTCCTGCTCAAACCCAAACTTTCATAGAGCCTGCAAGCCAAAGTTCAGGACTAACAGTGGACCCATGGCACGAAGGACTCCAGGGAGATCCCCTTGTCTACTCAATGTTGAAATTTAAAAGGAACTATTGATAATGGGCTGTATTGAACAGTTCAATAAATGGTGTCATGAGCTCTCCTATTGCTTTATGGAAGCCCAGAGTTGAACTTATTGATCATCATCATTTTGGCTTTCTTGAACCCTAAGCAATCATATTTGGATGATACGGTTAGACACACTTTTGCAATATTGTCCAAATAAAAAATGGCTGTATCCTTTGGTTTTAAAAGTGACCAGCTGGGGGGCATCTTCACTGATCGGGAAATGATACCGAATAAGAAAAGACTCTACCTGTCAGCCTCAGAAAATACAATGAGCCTGATCATTCACCCAGTGCACAACATCTTAGCATACAGCACAAATGCCAACTCAGAGATAGAGCAAGAATTCCTCCTTGTCTCTTTACATCAGGAAATTGTTTCCAGTATAGGGGTTAATATTTGCAGCCGGAGGACAAAGATAGAGTCTCCACTATCTCCCCACTCAGCTCACCCTGTATGTGTGAGCTCAGAACTCCAGCCTGAGATGTCACTGAGATCACCATTATACACACTTTGTTTGACATGCAGTCTCCTGAATACATACAGAAATAGATGCCCCATCACTAAAACACACAACTGAGGTTTCTATATACAATCATCTATCATGACTTAATGAGTGTGTAACCCATGTTAAAATATGACATAAATAAGAATAAATAGTTGATTAAAAGCTGCATAAATAAGTTTGAAACTTAAAAGAAAAAACATCAACCAAAATGTTAATTCAACAATCATTTAATGTTTAAGATTAAAAGTCTGCTGACAGAAAATGACGTTGCTGCCCCTTTAAGGGACCAGCGACACAGACGCAGCACCTCAGTGACGCTGCAGCAGAGACCTGAGGGAGAGAGCAGAGGAGAAACCGGAGAAGACGAGCGGTGATTAATTAACAGAAAAAGCTGTGAAAAAGTCGATAAAACAGTTGAAAACCATAACTTACCTGGTCGGGAACTGACGGGGATTTTATGAGAACTAAGCCACACTGGGTTTGGTCAGGTTTTTTTGCACGCTTGGAAGCTCGGTCGGAGCGAGGATTGGTCTGCCATGTGCAGGCATGCACATTCACAGACGGGATTCAAGATGGCGAGCCAGACCCAGACCTTCAACTCAGCTTCTCCATCGCATTGTGAGGGAATCTCCTGCGTGTGGTAACTCCTTGCCACAGTGGTAGGAGTATCAGGAAGTAGTTTGAACTGAACTGAACATAACTGATTGAATTATTATTTGAGGCTTGAGGCCACCATCAGATTCCCAGAGAGCTTGCTTGGAGCCGACATCGAGGTACCTACACTGGTCTTGGTTGTACCCGACATGCGCTCCACCTCGTCATCGGTGCTTAAAGGCACAAACAATACTTTGGATGTTCTTTACGAGAAATATGCAGAGATCGCACCTCAGAACTATGAGTCTCTTCCTTATGGCTACAAAGTCGTCCTAAAGTCCCTTGAAATCCAAAAAAGACAGTCTGTTGATTCCAGCCTGGGAGAGGTAAGGCTTCATAGTAGAGACTTTGAAACCATTGCAGCTGGACAGACCAAAGTCCTTGAAGGATCAGTGAGCTGCAGGACACCTGATGCTGGAAAGTGGGTGATAGTAGAGTCACCAATGTCATCGACCCTGCCTGGTGGCATCCTGATGACAGATAGCCTGATAAGTCTACCACCAAAGCTACCACGCTGCATACCAGTCACACTCAAGAACGAGTCACACCATGACATCACCCTGTCTCCAAAGGCTGTCATAGCAGAGGTACATGCTGTCAAGAGTGTCCAATCTCTCAAGACCCTTGACTCAGACTCCCCCACAAAACCTGACCAAAAAACAAATCTCAACTTTGACTTCACTGACTCTCCTGTACCCAATGAGTGGAAAGAGAGGATAACAGAAAAATCGAGTTCCATGCCGGAGGTGTTTGCACTGCACGAGCTAGACTTTGGCCGCACTGACAAAATCAAACACCACATAACTCTCAGTGACGAGATGCCATTCAAACATAGGCCAAGACCTATACACCCCCAGGACATAGAGGCTGTGCGTACCCATCTCCAGCAACTCCTAGATGCAGAAGTCATCCATGAATCGGAGTCACCTTTCTCCTCGCCGATCGTAGTCGTCAGGAAAAATAATGGCGACGTCAGGCTCTGTATAGACTACAGAAAATTGAACACACAAACAGTAAAGGATTCATATGCTTTACCTAATCTGGAAGAGTCCTTCTTGGCATTGACTGGGTCCAGGTGGTTCTCGGTGCTCAATCTCAAATCAGGCTTCTATCAAATAGAGATGGAGGAAGCAGACAAGACTGCATTCGTCTGCCCACTAGGATTCTTCGAGTTCAACAGGATGCCTCAGGGGATGACCAATGCCCCTAGCACGTTCCAGAGGCTTATGGAGCGCTGTATGGGAGAGTTGAACTTGAAGCAAGCCCTAGTTTTTTCTGGATGACCTCATCATCTTCTCCTTGACACTGGAGGAGCCCGAGGAAAGGTTGATGCGCGTGCTCAACCAATTAAAAGAGTTTGGCTTGAAACTGTCGCCAGGGCAAGTTCTTTCAAACCTCTGTAAAGTACCTCAGCCACATCGTGTCTGAAAAAGGCATCGAAACTGATCCTGACAAAGTAGCAGCATTAAAAAGCTGGCCAAAACCAACCAACTTGAAGGAGCTTGAACCTTCCTTGGTTTCTGCGGTTATTACCGCCGGTTCGTTAAAGACTTCTCAAAGATTGTGAAGCCACTCAACGAGCTCACCGCTGGCTACCCGCCACTGAGAAAGCACGCTAAAACCACAGTGAACCTTGAGAAGTACTTCAACCCAAAGGATTCCTTTGGTGACAGATGGATGCCTGCTTGCCAGGCAGCGTTTGACACCATAATCGAAAAGTTGACGACCGCACCCATCCTCTGGTTTGCTGACCCTGAGCTCTCCTACATTCTACATACAGATGCTAGCACCTCGGGCCTCGGTGCTGCCTTCTACCAGGAGCAACAGGGACAGAAGCGTGTCATTACATACGCAAGTCGAGGTCTGTCGAAGTGTGGGTCCAGGGGCCTGTTCTACGAAGCAAGTTCAACCTAGCGAGGTAGCCTTGGAGGTACCTCGCTCAACTTAGCGCGGTAGCCAGCGGTCTCGCTAAACAGTCTTACGATGCTGGTTAACAACCTCATAAGTTGATCCAGCTTTGCTATGAGCGCGTGCACACATGTAAGGCGGAGCCCGCTGCATCTGACCAATCGCGAACATGGACCAGTGTGGAGCGTCAGAGTAGGCTGGAGAGCGAAGGACTGCGGACTTAGAAACGAGGAGCAGGAGACGATCATGAGAAAGTATGAAGAATTAAAATCTATCATAAACCTCAAAAGCAACACCGTTGCCGCTGCAAAAGCACGGAAGGAATGCTGGCGGAAAATTAACCTTTGATGCCATTATCACCCTGAAATAGCACTGTTCAACATGCGCTTTTAACTATGGTGACCAGACATCCCTGATTTCCGGGGACAGTCCCCGAATTGGATGATCTGTCCCCGGCTAAAGCTGTCCCCGAAAATGTCCCTGATTTAAGCGTTTCATGAATGAGAACAAAAATGTTGCATGTGGGCTAGAACAAAGGTTATTACAGTAGGTAGGAAGCACAAGTAAGCAGTCCTGAACAACAGTATTTACGGGGGTTATTACAAGGGGGGTGCGCTGTTACTAAATGGTACCGAGATGTTGTCTGTGATCATGCAGCCCATGCCCATTCATTTCCAAGATGAATTCATTCATTTGTTCATTCCTATTGTGTTTACATTTTTTGTGTGATATGTCGGCCATATGAGCCTTTCATAAAAGTGGTCATCCGGAGAAGTAAGTGGGTCCGTGCGGTCCCTGAAAACTCTTGTCGCCGGAGTGCTTCTCGGACAATGCGAGCATCGAGGTCTAAAGGATCCTCCAAGAATGGACAAGCCATTTTTCGAGAGAGCTCATTGGTCAGTGGGCAGGGTTTTTATACTCGGTGAGTTCAATCTGGAACTTAACCTGCCCTGGAGCAGGTTAGCCATTCAGCGTATGTTGCCATGGAGACTCGCCTTGCTAAGAAGTGAACCTGCGTCGTAGAACAGGAAACCCCCAACTTACCCTCGAAGTTACCTCGCTAAGCAGTAATCCTGCTTCGTAGAACAGGCCCCAGGTATCCTGCGCACAAATTAGAATTCCTTGCCCTTAAGTGGGCAGTAACAAAGAAATTCCAGGATTACCTGTACGGGAACACATTCCTTGCAGTCACAGATAGCAATCCATTAACATACATTCTTACCTCTGCTAAGCTCAACGCCACGAGCTACAGATGGTTGGCCGCTCTGTCAACGTTCGATTTCCAGCTACAGTACAGAGCCGGTAAGCAAAATCAAGACACAGACGGGCTGTCCAGACGTCCCCACAGCAGAGCACCTGATGACACATCATCACAAAAAGAGCTGGGGCGGATACAACAATTCACAAAAAGATACTTGTCAGAGGCTGATTATGCACACCTGAATGAAAACACCATCAAAGCCATCTGTGAGAAGCACTTTGTCCATGAAGTGACCAACAATCACTCTGGGGAAACATTACCCAGCACCACCTTGGTTGTGTCACTTGCCCACCATCCAAAGGCTCTCCCACAAAGCTTTGAAGAGGAGGATCAGCTTGGTGGCTTACCTGTCATCCCCTCATTTGCACCAGCTGAAATAAGAGACAAACAAAATGTTGATTCATGCATCCTTGAAGTACTCAGGCAAGTGGAGTTGGGAGAAAACCCCCACCATCCTTGAGGAAGGAACTTCCTGAGCTTGGTCTCTTATTGGGAGAGTGGAACAAACTTGAGGTCTTAAATGGCATCTTGTATCACAGGTGACAAGAGGGCGCTCAGACTCACTACCAGCTTGTGCTCCCTGAAGCCCTGAGATCCTTAGTCCTTAAGAGCCTCCATGACAACATGGGCCACATGGGCACAGAGCGCACCCTAGATCTTGTCCGGAAGCGATTCTATTGGCCCAAAATGTCAGCCAAGGTGGAAACTAAGGTCAAAACCTGCAACCGCTGCATACGCTGTAAGACCATGCCCAAGAAAGCTGCACCACTCGTCAACATCGTGGCCACAAGACCACTCGAACTCATGTGCATGGATTTTCTCAGTGTGGAGCCGGACTCAAGTAACACAAATGACATTCTGGTCATTACCGACCATTTTACGAAATATGCAGTGGCAGTCCCCACCCTGAATCAGAAAGCCAGGACAGTGGCCAAGACCCTCTGGGACCATTCTTTCGTCCATTATAGCATTCCTGAAAAACTCCACAGTGACCAAGGTCCCGACTTTGAGTCCCGAACAATAAAAGAACTGTGTGAGCTCATTGGCACTCAAAAGATAAGAACCTTACCTTACCATCCGAGAGGGAACCCTGTAGAACGCTTCAACAGGACCCTGCTCCACATGTTGGGAACCCTCGAGAACCAGAAGAAGAGTCACTGGGGGGAGTACGTCAAGCCGTTAGTACACGCTTATAATTGTACTAAGAACGAGACAACCGGCTTTACCTCTTACGAGTTAATGTTTGGGCATCAGCCAAGACTGCCAGTTGACCAGTGAGGCGTTTTACAATCTTCGTGAAGTAGTCGGACAGATCAAAAGATGTCTGAAGACAGCAATGCCACACGATGGCAACAGAAGGCAACCCCTCAACAAGTGTCGCTGTGAGGACTGTGAAGGGCGTCCTCCACACTCTCTCAAATAAGCAACGAGGGATTTGATGTTTGTAAGGTTGTACCCACTGGTAAGACAAACATCCTTTTCCACAAATAAAGACAATCACATCAAGTTGCATATATTTAAACCTCACCTAACAAAGGTTGGTTTTGCGCACAGATCACAACACAAATTCCAATAATGGCATTAAAATCTGAACCATCTGTGTGTAAATGATGCATGCACTCCGTGGCCTGGTTCTTTCTATCATTGATGTTGGCATGTAAAAAAAATTTGGCTCATGCAACTGAATTTTATAACATTCCTATGTAGGCTTAAAGTAAATGACTCATCTAATCAGTAAAGTTAATCATCTTTTCAGCCACCGCAGCAGCAGCAGGACGTGGAGAGGACACAGAGACATGTCCAGGTTGAGCTGGTCGAAATATAAGAGGAAGAGGAAAATAGAAAAAGGGGAGAAATGATTTAAATATCTTGTTAACTTCATGTGTGTCTATTTAGTATTTACTAGATATTTAATTTGATTTGATGTGGTCTCAACTGTGTTAATTCGGTCAGGTTGAGTATCTAAACATGTGCTAAATGCGCTCATTAGATAAGCTATAGATCAGAATATATTTATAGATCTGAATGTATGTACTGATTCAGAATAATGGTTGTTGTTATTTTTTGCACTGAAATGTGCCTGACACCGTGGAAACCTGCCAGTGAGGCATTGGTAACGTATGTGCACTATGCCACCGGTCTACTAAAAAACCACTAGACTAGCTGCTCTCTGCCTGCGCTGAAAGCTGACCAGGTTTGAATCGGTGAGCTTTCAGCGCACTTTCCATGCCACCAGTGGGCACGAAAATATCACTGTGCCAGCTGATTCTGTCGACACCTCCCCCTACCGTGCCACCACACCCAGCTTGGGGCACCTCGGTGCACCTCAGACTACGAAAATACCAAACTGGCTGAGCAACTGAGAAGGGAGACATAGGCATAGTTTGATGAGGTTTTCAGCTTCTTTGAAAAGAATGCTCGTTTGTGGAAGGAGTTTAGACATATTTGCAGCTATGTCTTGTACTGTGTTGCCGGGAGAGTTGCAGAGGACGTGTCAGATCATTTTTAGCTGAGTCTCCAGTCGGTCCCTGTCATAGTGTGAGGGAAGGTGCAGGGAACCCACATTCAGTGTTTTTTGTTTTTTGGCTGACTTGATGACCAACTTCTCCCTAAGAGCTGCTGTTTACATGCCACCTTGGTCGAATCTCCTCTTCAGTTCCTCTGTAATCAAGTCCACTTCTTCATAAAACTCACACCGCCATGAGTTTTGTTCTGCTGCCTCTGGCTCTATTGTGTGCCGAAAGTGGACTAGGGTTTCTGTCATCCTCTGCCCATCTGGCATTTTCAGTCTCGTTGTGGATACCTTGTGCAATATGTTCTCCACCACTGCATAATCTCAAAGCGCTTCCATGCGCTTTCTTAGCAATTCGGTGCACTCAAGAGTACCATGCACCTGGTAAACTGGTTTCTGGCCCCTATTTGCAGCCAGTGCCGCTGCCCCTTGCTGGTCAAAAAAAAAAAAACAACACAGGCTTGAAGCATTTCAGGTTTTGCTTCACATTAAAGTTTATGCTTCTGTCTCCAATGTTGGCTGGGATCATGCATGGACTGATGAATAGTTAGATAGACTCACGTAGGTGCTTTTGGATTCCAGAGTCAATGTGTACATTTCTGTTGTTTTTATGATTCATTGGGTTGACTTTAAATGTCCTGTATTCAAAAGCAGCCAGCAGGCGTGTAGTAAGATGCTGCATACTGACTTCACCTCCAGGGTTTAAAGTCCGAGAGCTTTTTTTTTAATCATTTTATTATTATTTTTTTATTTATTTACAGGTTACCCAGTCTGAGTCCTTTTGGTGTAAAAGCACAGCAGTTGTGAGCAGAATGAAATAGAGGCTTGAGGAGCGCAATTTGAAACAGCATTCAGAGAGACTCAGAAAAACAAGAAAAAACATCCAAAAAGACAGTTTGTTGCAGAGGATAAAAAGATATCAGAGTCTTTTTCTTAAGATGTGAGGGGAAAAAAACATGTTGGTGGAACTGCTCCTCAAATGTTTGTTGTCAATGATAAAAGATGAATAAAGATAAGGCATGCATGAGTTTTAATACTAAAGGAAAACAGGTGCCACTGCTCTCCTGGGTTAAATAGATCAGCATGTGAAGCAGTATGAAGTATTCCTTTTGTGCAAGGAGAATACAAAAAGTCACAAATACCCCTTTACTTTACAAGAGGAAGTAAAGGGAGCAGGTGCCAGGAGCAACAAATGATGCCTGCCATGCAAAAATAGACTTTTTTTAGACCATCTAACCATTTATTTGCTGGTGGTGGCTCCTCCTTCTGGGTGCTCCCTGTGTTGACTAAGGCTGGCCTCACACTTGATGTTTTAGAGCTCTTTATTCCACCCAGTTTTGATTGATTTTTTACTTTACAATCCTCAGACTCAGGAGCAGTAAAGAAATTGCAGTGGCACCACAAGCCCCCAAATCTGGCCACATCCTTTATATTTGGGGTGGCAAATTAAACCCTATAGTTGTCTAGTGTACGGTCAGCCAGGGCAGGATTATATAGCTTTCTATGGAGTGCATGGAGTTAAAAAAAAAAAAAAAAACTTTCAGAGTGGAAACTATAGGAGGCCAAGGCAGTGGAGGCAAAGCTTTGCCCTCAGCAGCAGCAGCAGCAGCAGAGCGTGACCCTTTAATACCACTACATGCATACAAACTGGAAGGAATTCAGATGGGACTTGCATAGATCATTGGGCCAATGCTTCATGGGTCAGGACCTCTGATCTTAAAGACAAAAGGAGGATTATTAAAGATGAATACAGTTCAACAATCAATGACAGTTGAACTTTCAACTGTTAACTTCGTCAGTAGGTTTCAGTACAACATTTAATCCTGACCAACAGAAATATTCATCCATGGTAACCTGCTTAATATGTTGTTGCTGAATATGTGGTTTCACACCCCTGTGTGAGTTTGTAGTTCTCCTGTGATCTTTGACCTGGTGGATTCAGCTTCCTCAGTCTGCTGCAGAAACAATGATCTATGCTGTTGGATTGAGCAAAAACAAACTGCAGATGAAGTATGATGCACATGCTACTTGATGAATCAAAGAGAGAGCAACTGACATATGAAGGATCTGTGCAAAGCAAGTTGTTGTTATGCAGCTGTGATTTATTTGTGAATCAGTTTAATAAGGAAGTTGTCGGCTGATGACTGCTCGGGTTTTTTATGACTTTAGTGTCCTGTATTAACCAATGCAAAGTTTTATTCCTGATAATTTACTTGATTTTGCTGCGGGATCATTCAGTTACATATTGTACATAGTGGATATTTCATGATGAATATGATAACTACTGTATTCTTCTCTGCTCTTGGTAGAAATCGGTAAAACCGGCCGACCTTAAACTGCTTGGACTGAGCCTGATGACCTGTAAGATTCTCCTCCTCTACTGCTTTTGAACTCAGAAGCCCTCCCTCCCATGTCTTCCCACTCTCTGTTTCTCTCATGCTGCCTTGAGGGGTTTGTCATGCGTGGGTGCAACTGTAGGTCCCCAAGAGACCCCCTCAAAAAATGGCAAAGAGTTATCGATAACAAAAGTCATCAAATTACATTCTGTTGGTGGTGTAGTCCTCACCAGAACTCAAACTGAAGCCTTTCCTAAGGAGTCTGTGAAACACCTACATATCGTTCTTCATCAAGACGAACATTGTTAACCAGGTAGATACAGTTATAGCTGTCATTGGGGTGGATTTTGTTGAAGCATCATGCAGAATTGAAGGGATATTGCAGTGTATTTGGAAAATATGAGTTACATGTCTTGAGTAAGTGAATTTGTCACTTCCGGTACCTTTACATGGGCACAAAAAACGGAATAAATGGCAGTTTAGAATGAAAATGTGTCATGTGAACATGTCCATCGGAAGATTCTGATCCAATACGTCCCAATCGGAGAGAAACTGTATTTCAATCAAGAGGGGTGGTTTATGCCCACGGTTTGTGCCGCAACGTGTCCATATAAACATTTATTCCGATCATGACTCTTTGTTGGGGCAAAACTAACCTGACTCAGTCTTCACTCTACTGACTTTATTGAGGTCAGTACAGGAGGTTTCATTATTAACACTGGCATAAAACACAACCGCGGGTGCTGTGCCTGCTCCTCCGATGACATAACAAGGCGTACATACAGCGTAATGATGTTACATCTGCACACACAGTGCAAACTTTGACAGAACAGTGAATTAAGTAAGCAAGGGCGCCAATCTAGTGACAATATTAAACAGAGGGAAAACTCCTGAATTGGATAGAGCGAGCCATGACCGTGTTTGTTGGTTTGTTGACAGCACAGGCGTAAATACAACTCTTCTTCTGCGGTTGTTTTAGCGAAATCAGATAACTCTGTGCGTGTCCAAATGCTTCTAATATGAATACAGCTTGGTGCATGTATACACATGTCATGATCGGATTATTTGATCTTGTGCCCATACAGTGGATTCAGATTTTCCAATCCCTGAAATTTTTATTCGGATCAAGAAATTTTGCACATGTAAATATGGCTGATGAATGCCAATCCCCTTCTGCAGGATGCAAGCTAGGCTATAGTCTCCTACAGAAGGGGAGAGATTCTGCTCAAGTACTCATCTTGGTTTAAGTGTATGCACTACCGTAAAAATGTGCACTCCTACATGCAGTCGACTGATATGCTATTTAAATCAGCTGGCTTCGAAGAGACAAAAATTACATCCAAACTAAAGAATTAGTGATTCAGAATGTGTCGATGATATTCAGTTCACTGCAAATACACTCTGACACCTGTACGAAGTGGGCAGAGGAAACAGACGACTCAAATCATCTAAAGTTACCTGGTGGAACTGGTGTGAAAACTGCAGGATAATGACCACGAACCAATACAACTACATCCTGAGATGCTGTGATCAGCAACAATCACCAACCACAGTCCTAATCCAACAAAATAAGCAAAAATACATATCTGCAGAAAACTGTAGCATACCTGGGTAGTATCGGCTTAAAGGAGCTGAGCTGTCTATTGTGGCAAATACAGTCAATAATGACACGTATCTCATATAAGCCTCCTTCAAAAGCACTGAAATGACCCTTTAACCTCTATTTTCACTTCTCCTTTCAGTATTGATGTGTGTTTGATGATTATTTAGCAGCAGGAGAGGGTTTTTCTCCAGTGAATGCTCACTCGTTTAAAACGACAGGATCTGCAAGAATCACTTTGTCCACAAGAGCTGTCGAAAGAAAAGGTCTTTGGCTGCTCTTGGACCTGAGATAACATCGGTCTCTCCGCTTCCTCTCACCTTCAACAGCTCTAAGAAGTCTGTATCATCCATCTACTCATCTTTTACATACCCTTAACTGATATAAATGCCTGATTATGGGTTTCCTCTGTGACTAAAGCAGAGACTGAGGGGTGCTTATTTGCATGAGTCTCTCACAAATTAGTATTCCAGCATTGAGAGAAAGTCTCTTAGACTCAGTTTTGTTTGCATAAACATTTCCACTGTTGGTAGAGTAGGATGGTTAAAGTGAGTCTGCCCACTGTGTTTGGCAGTAAGTGCTGCGAGCAAAAATAGAGACCTGTTTCTGCTGCCAGGACGTTAGTTTTTGATTGGATGTCAATTTGTCAATATCAGTGGGACAGAGTGTGGGCAAATTTGAGAGTTGGTGGAATTAAAGAAAATAAACTTTCTGTAATTTGCAGATTTAGTGAGGGGGTGTAGAAAGGACATCAAAAAATAGATTGCTGGTTTTTTTTTTTTACTTGCATGGAGAGAGAATCTGGACTTATCCTGTGAATCTACGCACAATTATTCAACATTGAAAAAAAATGTTTTTGCTGTGTCTTAATACTACGTAAACCACCTTTAGAGTGTTTTCACTTTAAACAGTAACAGGAGAGGCGTACCTTTGGACAGATGTGGAGACATATGTGAAACAAAACAAGGGAGCGAAGGTTGGCAAAAAGAAGAGATCCCTTTTACATACAAGAATAGTATTTAGAAAGAACATTTAACTGTACTGGGTTATAGCAGTGGTTCTCAAGTCCAGTCCTCGAGGCCCACTATCCTGCATGTTTTGGATGTTTCCCTGCTCCAACACACCTGATTCAAATAATTAGCTAATTATCAAGCTCTGTAATGGCTTAATAATAAGCTAATTATTTGAATCAGGTGTGTTGGAGCAGGGAAACATCCAAAACATGCAGGACAGTGGGCCTCGAGGACTGGACTTGAGAACCACTGGGTTATGGCAACAAAAGGGGAATATTGTGACAACATCAAAGTAGTTTCAGGACCTGTGTTAACTATGATTCAGTTAAATGTTCATGTTACAGTTGTTCAAGCCATAGACTGTATATACTATGGACAACTTGGCTCCGCCTTTTGTCATTATATGGATTTGAAGCCGAATTGCTCTTAGTATCTGGGATTTTCTCCACTTACTGGAACCACCACTTGTGCAGTAGCGTTGTAGGCATTCAGCAGGAGAGTCACTGTGATGACAGTCCCGTGGATCAGCTACGCAATCTTTGTACGCCCAAAGGCTGTATCAAGTGTCAATCATAGAAAACATGAAGCTCTAATAAGTTTTAAAAATGGAGAAAAAAGAGGATTTGAGCAAAAACCAGTCTTACAGTAACTCCATGTGAACAACACAATCAGGCTGGAGAAAAAATAGTATTCTGTGTTATTAATTTCTAAAGTTTGTCCACAGCTCCCTAAGAATTGATTTATGACCTATACCACCAGGGGGTCCTGTTCTCGCGGTGGCTTTACCCAGCCAGGAGGCAGACAACGTCCATTCTATATACAGTCAATGGTTCATGCTCCGAGTTGTCAGTGTTTCAAAGTTTGAAATATTCAATCAGAGTTTCCACCATTTTAACCAAAGCTGCCCCACAGGGATCAATCCTGGGTCCTGTTGTATTTACTATAAATATGAAAAAAAAAAAAAAAACATGGACCAAAAAGTTCTGGGGACTCTTTGAAGAGTCTCTGTGAACTGCAGACTATGGGGGCTTTTTTTCTACCTGTTGTCATGGTGACTGATACGATTAAGTGATGTAAGCTAGCTGACAGTTTTAAGTAACTTCACTTATTCTACACAGGTGAAAAAACGAGTTGAAATATAGTGGTGATGGTCGAAGCAGTGCTCATTGTGTGTGATTGGGTCTGTGAATAAAACTGATTTAAAAGGACACAAGCTAAGATGTCTTTATGCTGTATTATATTTAAACTATTTGAGCTAATCTTTCTTAATAGAGCCCTTTAACAGACTGATGATTATAGGGTATCAGGTTTGGCAATCACTTTATTACTTTTGATCAAAGTTTTATGAAGTTACATGACTGCAGTTGTTAAAGTCTCTGTAAAAAGACTTCTGCCTTCTGCAGGGCCTTCCACTGATAATATTACTAATGTGTGTGGTGGGATTTAAAAACAACAATTTGGTGGTACTGGATTGGCTTTTGTGTTCAACCAATCACTGTGGTCCCTCTTGTGATGGGAGAGTACCTACTATGAAGCAGGAGCTTGACAGAATATCATAAACAGGGTTCTGGGAGTTAAAACAGTTCATAGTTCCTGCAGTGGTACAGCTATGAAAAAGTTCCTGCAGTTTGACAACACCTGTACTCTCCTCTGTTCCTGATTATCAGCCTTCAAAAGGCGGTGCTGCCTTTTTTTTTAACTTGTGGATTTTGTACAGCTCACTGATGAGACGCTGTGATTTAACTTGAATGTTTTTCAGATTGGATTTATCAGTCTTACATTTGTACTTAACACCAGCTAAAAAAAGAAAACAGAATTAAAAAAAAAAAAAAAATACGCATTTTTTTTCTTTTCTGGGGCAAGTGATATTGATTTCAAAATTCAACTAAAATCCATGCTGGATGGGAGTACTATTGGAAAGGTCCCAGTGTCGGAGTATCTCTGTATCTGGCTCATTCTCGTTTAAAATCCAAATTAAAAACTTCATCAGCAAACTTTGTTAGAAACTCAGATTTTTATACAAATGATCAATTTTTCCTCTGAAGTGATCTTATTTTAGTTAAGGTGATACTGTTTACAGACAGGCTGCTGCCTCCTATAAAACCAGCCATCACATTCTTACACATGCCCCTATACAGTGTCAGTGCTGAACTGGACCTCTGGACCCTATTGAACTCAGTCTACCGAGAGGAAACTTAGTCTACCATCTGTTTAAAACTTTGAGTACTATGGCCTTACTCTAAACTTGGGAAATCCACCTTACTGACAATATGCAGATTTATTTATAACAGACTCTTAAGATCAACTTTCTTGTTTCTCTTGTACAACTCAAGTCAGTTATCTCAGTTTGCAGTTGTTTTCATCCAGCACATCCCTTTCTAACTGATCCTTGTAAATGAGGGAATCACTTTTGAGTTTCAAGGCTTAAATAAAGGTTGAAGTTGATCTTCCAAGATCTTACTGCTCTTATCTATGACTTTAAACCCTCCTTATTGCATCCTGTTTTAAAGATGAGCTGAAGTCACTGCAGTGGTTGCATCTTGTGGAGGAATAAAATTAAAGTGATTGGTCTCCTGAATAAGATTTGCAAAAGAAAAAAAAAAAAATCAACATTGAAGCCTGACAAATGAAAAGTGAATAATCTGAATTGCTGTGTTTGCTTTACAGAAACACAGATTAGCAATTACTTTTTGGTGCTAAATGCTGATTAATAAGCAGAGTGTGATGTAAAGTCTTTTCACTGCTAATTTGATACATGGGCTGCTTTTCTGTGACCACCTGGGGAGAATGTGGTAATGAGCAGATGTTTAGGTGTGCCCAGGTGATGCTGCGACACTACAATATGTGCGTGTGTGTGTGTGTGTGTGTGTGTGTGTGTGTGTGTGTGTGTGTGTGTGTGTGTGTGTGTGTGTGTGTGTTAACATACCGCTTGAAAGAAATTGGCCTACAACCAGTGTGATGTCCCGGGCCTTGTGATTAATTGATGTATGACTAACAAAGCCTTCAGCCTCAGGTCCCATGGAAGCTGGCTAATGGTGCTGCGCTGTGTTTATTGGGATATTTCTGCTGATTTAGGAAACTCAGACTGTGACAGGATTCCAGGTTAGAAACCACAGAGGAGAAGGCTTTTCTGAAAATAAGAGAGCGGGAGAGTGATACAGAGAGAATAAACAAGACTAATGAGAAAGGAGAGCTTTTCACAAACACGTTTATACATGAAGGTGCAATTTTGATGAAATTGTCGTAGTTATCTAAGAAAATATGCTTATGTTAAAATCAAGATTCCTAGTCTTGTCTGTCAGAACAAATGTCAAAGCCATAACAGAGCCATGGCGTACAACCAAAACCCAGTCTAGGACAGAAGGTATGAGCTGATTCTTTCACACAGAGAGAGGAAAATGTCATGAGTAAAGCTAAACTTTGTAAAAAGAAACAAAATATTAACACAGTGCTTGAACCTGAGCTGATTTCTTTTGTATATGACTGATGTCTTTGTCAGTTGATTAGTCCAAACTCCATTATAATGGCGATTTATTCCAGCTGCAAATGCTCTACTGACAGGAGTCCAACAAATTTCACCTCTGCCTGTTGACACTGTGGCAAAAACCTAGTCTCAGGCTCAGGCAGGTCTTGAAAGTCTGGACATAATCCTATTTAGGGGTCAGCTGAGAAACAACTGGACCCTAATGATTTCTGATCAGAGGAAAGTGGAGGGACATCCTGTCCTGCAATCCATGCATCGGCTGCAGAGAGGATCTTTAAGCTGCAGATCACTATATATTAACGCAGACAGAAAGGGAGCAGAGCATGGACAGTTGAATATGTTCATTTATTTTGACCCACTTTAAGTGTTTCCACTACCTGAAATAATAAGTCATACAAAATGCTTTAATAGAAAGCATCTTTGCAGGGAAAACCTCCAGATTTGTGAGTTTATTACTTCAGCTTTAGCAGACTTTTGACCGTTTTCATAGTTTTTTTTTTTTTTTAAATTAAAAATGTCCAAATTGTCAGAACTTGTCAATTTAAAGCCACAAGTGGTAAATAGCTGTAACATCAAAATCTCTCTTTATGCAACTTTAAATAAATTCCAGTTTAAGTAAACATACAGCTTAATTCTTTAAAAGAGGGAGATGTGTTGTAGAAATGATGTTAAAACTGGCATTAATTGCTGTTATAAGCTTAAAAAGATAATTATAACAGTTATTAATTAAGCTAAGAAATAAAAGATGATTGAAGTTTAGATATAATGATGCTGCTTGTTTTTTTTCCATGTGAGAGGATAACTTAGTTTTCTAGGTTTAAGAGTTTATAGCTCATGTGAGGTTTTTTTTTTTACATCTTAGAAACAGGCTGAAAAATATTGATGCATTTTTATAAAATCCAAAAGCAAACAATACCATAAGAAACAGAATTGGTTGTTTTTATGTCACGATTTTTACTCCTGAAAACAGTGTGAGGGGGTAGGTTTCATCCATGCAGCTGCAGAAACAATCTTGTTTTTACAATTACAGCAACAATATCCACAGTCTGACACATTTGACTGCAAAAACGCAGCAGGATAAGAGAGGACAAGATAAAAAAGAGGGTTGTTTTATCCACCGGGGGGCACAAACAGGAGCTTCAAGGATGAAACTAATCTACGCGTATGTTTTTTCAATTTCTAGGAAAAAAAACTACAAAATTTTTCATATTTTTAAGCTTTTTACAAGTGGACCTGAAAATCTTGAGTTTATGTTTGCATCTGCAGCAGGTTTATAAAAAAAAAAAAAAAAGATTTACTATTCACAGAGCATTTTGCAAAAAAACACCTAAAATATCAGTATTTCTGCAAAAAAACAAAAAAACAAAAAAAAAACACCACTTTACTCATTGAGAGGAAGAGGTTCACTCGTGTTCATCTCTGAAATGTACCACATCTGAGTGCAGCTATTTTTATATACAAGGATGTTTTATGGGGATGTATTTTTTTGTGGTCTAACAGAATTGTCTATATGAATTCTCAGGCTCTCAACATGCAGCTATACCTCACCGTGCTGATCCCCTGACAGCTGTGGGTCTGACGGTTTCACTGCATTTATTGATTTAGTTTCTCTTTGTGGAGGTTCTCAGGCCCTTCCCTGCTAAAGTTGTTCCAAAAGGTCAGAGCCCTTCCAGATATATAAAATCCAGATGTCTCATCCCTCCAAAAACAAAACATTTCACATTCAACCACTGCAGAAAGTTTTATACTTCTTCTCCAGGAAGTGCATATTTTACAGACCTTCATGTTGCTGTTTTCCATGCTTTTTTCCATATTTGCACTCTTGCTTATGACACTGTCCACAGTGCTTGTAGCAACCCTGTCACACATTTGATTACCTGCCAGTAATGTACAGTGTGTTTGCTGCACTGGCTCATCACTACATCTCACATTTTATTTATGTCCTCAGGAGTCAGAGGGAGTTGAAATGAGCCGAATGTTTCTGTGGCATCTGCAGCCCCACATGACTGTCTGGTGTTGGGTGACGAAGGTGGTGGAAGGAGGATTGATTCAGCGCTTGTAAGTCTCCACAGGAAAATCAATATGCTCACCGCAAACCACGATTGACTTAACAGCACATGCCAACCACCTCTGAGCCGAGCCGAGAGCAAACGTGGGCCCACCTTATTATAAACCCTCTGTGCAGACATGATCTCAGAGACCCTGCTTTTTAGTCCAGCACATCACCTGCCTGTAGGACACTCACTCAACTCCTCCCCAGTTGTGCAGGAATAATATTACCAAGGTGGGTGGCTAAGGGAAAAAATAAATAAAAAACAGGCTCCTCTACTTTTTTATTGCTGTCAAGCTCCAGCAAGTGTCAAAATAAGCTCTTTCTGTGGGCGAGCAGCGACTCACCTTCACTGCATGCCTGAAGAAATATCAGACACATCCGACAGAAATGATCACATAACTTTCCTCGAGATCTTATCGAGTTTACTTTCACTTTCACCCATCTCTCTTTTTCATACTATTTATCATTTTGCTTTTTTTACTCTTATTTATTTCATCAGACTGTGCAGGGAGCCCATTCTGCATGAAACTGCATCATAGCTTTGAGTAAATGCATGACTTTTTTATTATTGGTTTTGTATCTGATACCACACCGCCAAACCAAAGTTTTCATACAGCATTTCTACACTACAGAACTCCACACTTTTTTAATTAAAACTTTAAATGAATGATAAATTATTCCATTCAGCAGTTCACTCGTCAATTGCTTGAATATTTATGAAAACATTAGCTAAGAGCATGGCACACTTGTATTTTGACGCTGAAGTGCTAATTATTTCTGATGGTAATAAATGCATGGCAAAACTCCCTCACTGAAGGATGTTAATTATCATTGAAATATTAAAAAAAGATGATAAATGAAACAAGAAATGGCAACAAAACATATCAGATGTGCTAAAAATTGTCAAAACAGTTGGGTGATTGATATTTGCATGACTTGTTTTGAAGGGGGAGTCTGTTTTTAAGGGTAATGTAAGGAGTTTGAAATAGTTTTATCATAGACTGTATATAAGATGGACAACCTGGTTCCGCCTTCAGCCTGTATACGGATTTGAAGCAAAAAAGCTCTCGGTATTTCCGGGTTTTTCTCCACTTCCTTGAAACCAGAGCTGTGCAGTAGCGTTGTGTGCATTCAGCCGCGCAGTCGCCGAGAGTCCCTGTGATGAAGCTCGGCTCAAACAGCGTATCCCTTGGGAGAGCTACGCAATCCCTGAACGCCCATAGGCTGTACCAGGTGTCAATCATAGAAAACATGAATCCCCTAATAACTTTTAAAAACGGAGCTGTACAGAAAAAAAGGACTTGGGCACAAACCAGTCTTACAATAACTACATGTCAACATCACAACCAGGGGGGAGAAAAATTTATGTTCTGTGTAATAAATTTCTAAAGTTTGTCCACAGTCCCATAAGCTTTGCTGGCGGAGGCGGGATTTATGACCTGTACTGCAGCCCACCATCAGAGGGTGCTGTTCTCGGAGTGGCTTCACCCAGCGAGGAGGAAGACTCTGTCCATCTTATATACAGTCTATGAGTTTTACTTGTAAACTGATGCTGACAGTCTCCTTACTTTCACCAGAAACAGCTTGGATCAGAGTGGAGCAAAATTTGCAAGAATGAGGAAGTTGCAACCCTTGCTGCAACTTTATTATTGTAGACTTTTGAGATCAGGGAAAGTCCAGCTGTTATTTTTCATGAATTTAAACATGAAAGTCCACCTTGTTTTGCAGAATGTAGTCCACAGAGCCTTGGATTCTGCTGAAGTCATGTTTTGACACCAGAATTTGGCTGTTTGCTTTAACTTCAGGAAGCACCCATCAGTCTACGTCTTTTACTGGCAGCTCTGTTTGTCTGAGATTTTAGTATATTTCCTCACTGAATGCCAGAACAAAGCAGCTTCAATTGCCTTATAAGGATAAAATGACATTTATTTAATTATTATGACCATCAAATTAAGTAGTCACACACACATAACACTGTAAAACTTTCCAAAGCTCCACAGGTTAGGAGTGAAATCAAGCTGTGACCACTCCAAGCCAAAAACACACCGTGCCTGTATGTTAAGGTTCAAAGACAATGAGTTTTGATAACGATAGCAGAAGGAGATCTTTCATGTCTAAATAATGGGATTTTTTTTTTTTTCAGAGCAGAGTTAGACTAAGGTGCCAAAAGTCCTCCAAAAAAAGAGGGAAAGATCTGTGTCTTTCATGAATGTGCAGGCTTTCATCTGTTTTCAGGTCTCACACCGTTGCATACCTTCTCTACCTTCACTTCCTCATCATTACCACTCCATTCGGGTATTTTCTCTGCTCTCCTCTCTTTAAATTCCTGCATTCATTATCTGTTTTGCTCCGGCCAAAAACAGCCCATCAACCGTTTTGCAGAACAGAGAATCCCCAGAGCCATGGCTACATTTACTAATTGCTGAAGATTTAAGGCTAATGATGGGGATTTTTGCTCTGGAGCCCTGTCAGATCTATTTCCTTCACTTGCCAGCAGATTTCTTGGTATATTTTTGTGCTTCTTCCAAAAGTACAAACTGAAATCTGGAGTATTACAACCATGTGAAACTGCGGCTGCAGCAAGATCGAGTCCACTTCTCTTCCCCAGAAATTTGATTGAGTGGTAAAAACAACCTAAAAGTTTGAACAGACTTCTTCTCTTACAGAACATGAATCTAGGATTTTATGTCTAAAATTCTGTGACATTTTAAATATTTAAAAGTCCATATCATCAACAATTCAGAGCGTCTATTACCAGTGTCTTCATTTTTGTGATCTTGACTTTTAGGTTTATTTATAAAGTAAACACTGCTCTGCTGTATGGTTTTTAAAGCTTGACTGAGAGGAAGGACACCTCTATCTGTCATGATTTATTCTTGAGTTCTTTTTCATGTGTGTTTCAGTTTTTAATTCAGCATTTCCTGTTTTATTTCTGTTTATTTCCTGTTTCTATTTTTATTTCCTACTTCCTTCTCCTTGTGTGTTTGGTTTAGTCAGACTTCCTGTGTTTTCCCTTGTCTGCACATGTCTCTCGTTACTCGTTACCTCGTCTGTATTTAGTCCCTGTGTCATCTTCCCTCTTTGTCAGGTGGTTTCTCTGTGCCTTCTTGTTGGCTCTCTAGTTCCTGATGTTTGGTTTATCTGGATTTGGATGTTTTCAATTTTTGTTTCTCAAGTTTAGTCTTATGTTTATTATGGAAGTGAATTCAAATTCAAAAGCAATAGCAGATATGCTTTTTCATGTCAAAGTCATGGCTGCACTATTTGACTCAAAAATAAAAATAAAAAACAATATTCCAAAATGCAAATTCATTTTCTTTTCAAGACTGCTCATTTTGTGATGAAATTAAAAAGAAAAACCAAACTCAGAAATGCTTTTCCGTTTTCGTGCTCACCCCGCAAAAAGTGTCTCATAATTCAATCTGAGTTCGCAATCTCAAGTGGCGCCGGAAAGTGACGTCACGGACCGCACTCGTTCAGGCCCCTTCAGGCCAATAGGGGGCAGTGAATCCATGTATCATTCGTTCAATTGATATTCAATGTAATTAACACAGCCTGTACACCTTGCTTGTTGGTTGTATTCAATGTTTGTGTGGACGTGTCCACAACTATGATCCACGCTTCACATAAGTAGAAACGAAACACTTGGTGTTAACGAAGATATATTACAAATATGTCCTCCTTTAATGTGGAAAAGTGTCCGCTGTCACCACTCGTACTGATTGCAGTCAGCGTGAATGAAATCAAACCGCGGATCGCGGCTATCTGTTTCAGCAGACTAACAGACTTTATACTCCTCATTGTTCTCATCACTGATCGATGGATTTGGGATATTTTGCAAATAAAGGGCAATAAACACAGTGAGAAACAGACAAAATGGTCATAGAGATGCCTTAAAAATACCTGGCACAGAGACAGAATCTCTGCAGTCTCTGTCCGTGTTCACCTGTGACTGTATGCAGATGTCAGCGGTGTGTCAGGTGTGCTGGTCCTTTTACTCACTCACTTACAGCATGGAGACGTGGACTCTCCACATTTTATCTTCAGTGGACTAAAAGTATTCTAATTTCAAAGTCATCTGCAGGCTTCTGTCGCACAACGTATTCAAGTATCCCATCTCAATAAATGAGAATATATTTATTCTTATTTGTTGAGGAGCACCTGTACTGTGTGCTGTTAGCTTGCTTCTGTGCAGCTCACAGCTCGAACACTGCAGCAGCATGCCTCGATGTTAAATTTTGTGTATGTTGTTGCAAAGTATATTTCAGCAGTACAGTATCCTTTTTGCTAGTAAATGTTTTGAAAATTAAATGTTAAATGTGATTTGCTTTTGCTTTTTAATTTAGTCACAAAATGAGCAGTCTTGAAGAAGAAAATGAAATTGCATTTTGGAATATTGCTTTTTATTTTTATTTTTGAGTCAAATAGTGCAGCCATGACTTTGAGATGAAAAGGCATTTCTGCTAATGCTTTTGAATTTGAGATATGAGTCACAATCGCTTCCATAGTTTAAACAAACCTTTTGAGTTTTGCTTTCTTTGCACCTGTTCAAACGAATAAAGTATTCATTTTATTGGATCTTTTTAGTTTTTAATGAGGAAAAATGCAGACATGCATGTACAAAATGTCTAATGAGTGTCAATTAAAAGAAATTTGCAATTATTTCAAGTTAATTTTGGTCACTAACTGAAGTCCAGGGATCCCTGGTTAGGAGATCTACTGTAATTTGGTTGCTTTCTCTCTTCTGTCGGTGAGACTGTTTTCATCACAAGTACGTCACTTAGATCTGGGCCATGCACTTTATAGTGATGATACAGTGGTGTGCAAAAAGTTACAGGCAATATGACTATAAAAGTGCCGAAAATGCATGGAATTGCTGACTGCTGAAAAAGCCATGTGAAACTGCTAAAAACTTGAAG